TTTGACCTTTCGACCTTTCGAGGTCAACATACATATGTTTCGATGCGGATCGACGAGAGGATCACGATGGTGATATTAGTTTGTTTCTAGCTGGGATACCTTGAAAGTTATTCGAGAAAAACTTCATATATATGTAGTGCCGCAATTTTGACTTCCTTTTTGCTCCTGTGACGTCATCTTTGACCTGACCTGGAAATAACCTCAGTAAAAATTATAGACCTTATCCGTGTGTACCCTGCATCGTATACCGCTTGTCGCTATCTTGCTTTATTCTCGAGATCTCGCTGTCGCTCCCGCTCGTAATAATGGACAGGTCATAAAAATGACCTGACCTGAGGTCAACGCAGGGCGATATCCACTTTTTTATTTTCGCATATGAATGACAATTGATAAGGCTTTAATCGTCATCAGACAAAATTGCAACTTTCAGTGGGGAAAATATCAAGGTCGCTCTTCGAAAAATAGGTCAAAAGGTCACGTGATCAAAATTTTCAAAAAGTGAAAATCCGAGATAGCCAAAATGTTTGTTGGTTGATTGTGAGTTGAACCATATAAAGTTTTTATCGTAGAAAACCAATAGTTTTTGAGTTATAGGCCGCCAAACATATGGCTGCAGCGTGACATCCAGGAATTGCCCGAGGCTATATCTCGGAAACCGTTGTTCGAAGAAAAAAATCCTTGCCACAGCTGGCTTCCCCGCCCATCACAACCCATTAGACCAATTTTAAGCAAAAAATAAAATATGAGGGTGCAGGGCACTTGTCGATTTGTCGTGGAACGCCCCAGGTGACCTTGACATCCACCCTAATGCATGGGAGCAACATCAAATCACATGTTTGAACGTTTGAAAGCACGAAAAGCTTGCAAAAGCGCGGCTAATGCGAGTCGACATACGCCGAATCGTGATTCCGGCCAAACATGGTCTCGGAAAGTAGGTCACAGGTCAATGGTCATTTGGGTCAGGGTCATGAAATTTTCAGGGTAGGTGTAAAATTGATAAATGCGAGGGTACTGAAAGTTTCGTTGCAATCGGCAGCTTTTTACGCGAGTTATTCGCGAAAAAACCTTAGGGGGGTTGCATCAACTGTGTCGGCGAGGGTCGGCGAGGGTTAAAATTGGGTATCATCGGCTTCCTTTCATCACGGGCAACACGGTCGTTTTTTCCACGAAGCTCTAGCTCGAGCAGGGTCGAAATGGCAAGGGGGAAGGTCCAACGGACCCCCCCCCCCCATATACGTTCGCAGCTGGAAAATACCAATACCGGCGAGGGTTGATGGATTATTAGAGACAATTTTCCAGGTTGCCTCCCAGTCAAATTCCCTTAAAATGGGCTCTGTCATTGACCTGACCTGGAAGGTCAACCAATGACCTAGGACCTTAAAATTGGGTATCATCGGCTTCCTCTCGTCACGGGCAACACGCTCGTTTTTTCCGCGAAGCTCTAGCTCGATCAGGGGCCAAACGGTAAGGGGGGGTCCAACCGACCCCCCCCCCCCTACACATTAGAAGCTGGCAAACGCCTCACACATGCGAGGGTTAAATGAAATATCGGATAACGAATGGTATTCCCTTTTTCTCTCTGGTGACATGTAATTTCTAGTGGAGGAAGGGGATAAACCAGGGTGCACTGCTTTCACCACATTCAGTTTTTTTTTGCTACGTATCATTTACACATTATCAGTATGAAAGAAATTCTATCGGCCCAGACACCTTTCTCGATTTTTTTAGCCTTGCCTGTTTTAAATGAAAAGTACAGTGTCGTAAAGAATACCGGGCTTTATTTTATGTGACAATATAGACAAGGGAGGGCTCGATGACCGAATATTTTGTAATCGTCTTGGATTTGATGCATGGGTAATGGCAATGGCAAATTAGTATCGAGAAACCTTTGAAGGAGTCTTGTCAGTTCTACCTAATTTCCATATTCGTGGATGCCTCAATCATCGAACCTCATGCATGTATTCGGGAAAGCTTCTGGCCGCGTTGTTGGTATTGCGAGGGCTGAACCTTGTGCTCACCAATCCTATGAACGTTAACTCCTATGAACGTTAACTCCTATGAACGTTAACCCCGAACATCCGAAAGCGCTATGCCCTGAGGGATTCAAGGAGAACTCGGGCATATGTACAGCCCTCAGCAGACTGCGTGGTAGGTATTCTTTTTTTTCGACAAAACCGGTAATAACTCAAAAACTATGTTATCGGTCGGATAACATAGTTTTTGTAGTTTAACATAGTTAACATAGTCGGTCGGAACTCACTGTAAATAGAGGCGCCATGCTCCACTCCTTCGATTGGGTCTATTACTAAACAAAGTATATCTGTATATGCCTTGTGTGGCAACAAAATGCAAAAGTTTGTTTTTGGGGCAAATATAAACATTTGGTTTTTGTTGCCAAACTAGATGAAAAATGAATACGATAGTAATGCCAATCTAAGGTGCGGAGTCTCGCGCGTCTTGCTGTTACGATTTCCGAATGACCGATAACATAGTATCCGGGTTATTCTCGGTTTTGTCGAAAAAAGAATACCTACCACGCAGTTTGCAGAGGGCTGTACATATCCACAGCGTCAGAAATTACTTAAAATTTGAGGATTTTGGGAATGTGGAGGATTTTTAGGGAGTTTGTGTCCCCACGGAGTCCAATATCACTGTTTTGGGTTTGCCAGTGGTAGGGTAACTGTGGGGAAAACGCACCCCTGGGTTAAACGCCTCCCCTAAAAAAATCGTATTTCTTATCGACGGATAGGTGTTTTATCCTGTCTTTCAGAACAGTCAGCTGCTTGTTTACGTAGGTCTCTATTTCCGGTTGTGAGTCTTGAGGAGCAGCGTGGGTAGGTGCTGATGTTGGTTTTGGATGTTGTTTTTGTTGTTTTTGCAGAAGATTCCTAATATTTTGATGCCCTCTTTATATCACAAACCTTGCTATTGTGCACATCACTCAAAACTGCGTTTTATTGTCATTCTGTTGAATATATTATGCTGCGGCGTTAGTGGCGCGTTTTTTGTCAATATTTTGTTGACCGGAAATGGAGTGGATGGGGCAAGACGCCTACTCGATGCATGGGGCAAGACGCCCCCAGTTTTCTGAAAGGGGGGCGTTTTGCACGGTGGTGAGAGTGCAGGGTAGCGCCCTGTAGGTCGGGGCCGAAAAGGCCTCTCCCTGTCCTTTTTTGCTGATATATCCTAAACGACTGCAGATATCGTCACCAAACTTTCAGGACTCCTCCGGGCATCCATTTTACACATTGCGACAAAATTTTATTCCAAAGGCTATGATAGGTTGACCACAAATGACGTCAGAACGACGTCAAGTTCTGCCATGTTCATCATTTTCTGTTGATAGATGGGGTGGGGGCGCTTTGCACATGGGTGTGGGCGTATTACCCAGGGTATGGGGCAAAACGCCCTTTTGCAAGGGTATGCGAAAACCTTTTTGGGGGGTTAAATACCACACGCAGGTGTCTTTTCTTGGTCTCAAAACGTAGTAAAAAGAATGAGCTACATGATGGTGCCCAAAGGTTTACATAATCTGTGTTGGGTTGAGTGTCAGAAGGTTTCGCGCTTAATGGGGGCGTTTTTGACCTATTCACCCTACTATCTAAATTGAAACTGTTTGTCGCCCACATTTTTGAATCGTTCGATGCTTATTTCCTCATTCTGTATTTTGATAATGCTATCGCTGTTGAAGAAAATGCATATTCCAAATGATACGGCTTCCGATTGATAGCTTTGAGAGGAAAACCAATTATGCTGGGCTTCATGATTGCTGGACTCTTAGCCGGATCGCCGTGTTGAAGTGGATGTTATTTTTTGTCGGTAATTAAGTGGCGGTGATGGAATATTTTGTGTTTGTGCCATGTACTCACCCTCTGTGCGCTGTATATAAGTCAGCTGGAAGGTGAACTCGGACCATTCGGTGTGGGTATCCACTGGCTGCGGACGTGCGCAATCTATATTTACATGTGTTTGATTAGCCCTTCAGTAATCTCGTTACCGGTGCTAATTGTTATGTGACGCATTTCGTGTATTCCACCACTGACTTGTGTCTCTTTGTGTCTCCCTTCCACCACTGACGTGGCACCCTCATGTGTGTCTCCCTCCCACCACTGACGTGTGTCTTCATGGCGTGTGTCCCTGACTTGTATCTCGTACCACTGACGCGTGTTTCCCTCCCACCACTGATGTTTGTTTCCCTCCCACCACTGACGTCTGTCTCCCTACCACCACTGACGTGTGTACTATGTCTCCCTCCCACCACTGACGTTTGAACTGTGTCCCTTCCACCACTGACCAATGTACTGTGCCTATATTCCACCACTGCCGTGTGTACTGTGTCTCCCTCCCACCACTGACGTGTGTGTGTGTGTACTGTGTCTCCCTCCCACCACTGACGTGTGTACATACTGTGTCTCCGTCCCACCACTGACATGTGTATTGTGTGTCTCTCCCACCACTGACGTCTGTCTCCCTCCCATCACTGACGTGTGTACTGTGTCTCCCTCCCACCACTGACGTGTGTATTGTGTGTCTCTCCCACCACTGACGTCTGTCCCCCTCCCACCGCTGCCGTGTGTACTGTGTCTCCCTCCCACCACTGACGTGTGTGTGTGTACTGTGTCTCCCTCCTACCACTGACGTGTGTGTGTACTGTGTCTCCCTCCCACCACTGACGTGTGTGTGTACTGTGTCTCCCTCCCACCACTGACGTGTGTGTGTGTGTACTGTGTCTCCCTCCCACCACTGACGTGTGTGTGTACTGTGTCTCCCTCCCACCACTGACGTGTGTGTGTACTGTGTCTCCCTCCCACCACTGACGTGTGTGTGTGTGTACTGTGTCTCCCTCCCACCACTGACGTGTGTGTGTGTACTGTGTCTCCCTCCCACCACTGACGTGTGTGTGTACTGTGTCTCCCTCCCACCACTGACGTGTGTACTGTCTCCCTCCCACCACTGACGTGTGTACTGTGTCTCCGTCCCGCGGCGCGGTGCGGCCGCAGGTACGGCGCGTTCCGTCGCAGCACGATGGCCGGCAGCAGCCCGCAGCAGCAGTTCGACGCGGCCGTCCAGCTGATCCGCGGCCTGCCCAAGGACGGTGAGTGACCCGGTGGCCTGACCCGGGTCAGCCGGCGCTCGGTGACCGGCTGGTCAGTGGCCGGGCGTGCGGGGACGGCCTGAAATGCCCGGCACTTAGGCCACCCGCTGTACACTGGAACTCTATCCAACAGGCCTAGGACCCCTGGGAGGATTTTCTTCTATGGCTTATTGTAATTAAATTATCTTGCTGATGAATTATAATTGCTTTGTTTCTGTTTTATTTTGTCCAGACAAAGCCTCAGATTCTGGGAACCTTCTACTGTCGACCACTTAGCTAATATATCCTCGTTCAAGGTCCTTTTCACAGCTCTTTGACCGGTCTGAGGATTTGTTTTGTGTTCCGGCCGCAACAACACGGTCGGCTCATGGGGCCACAGCCTGGCTCTTCACCGAAATCCCAGGCGCTCTATTACCGCCGCACGACGTGTTCCAGGCCCGTTCCATCACCCCCGGCCCGTGTTCCAGGCCCGTTCCATCACCCCCGGCCCGTGTTCCAGGCCCGTTCCATCACCCCCGGCCCGTGTTCCAGGCCCGTTCCATCACCCCCGGCCCGTGTTCCAGGCCCGTTCCATCACCCCGGCCCGTGTTCCAGGCCCGTTCCATCACCCCCGGACCGTGTTCCAGGCCCGTTCCATCACCCCCGGCCCGTGTTCCAGGCCCGTTCCATCACCCCCGGCCCGTGTTCCAGGCCCGTTCCATCACCCCCGGCCCGTGTTCCAGGCCCGTTCCATCACCCCCGGCCCGTGTTCCAGGCCCGTTCCATCACCCCCGGCCCGTGTTCCAGGTCCCCCGTTCCATCACCCCCGGCCCGTGTTCCAGGCCCGTTCCATCACCCCCGGCCCGTGTTCCAGGCCCGTTCCAGCCGTCCAACGACATGAAGCTGCGACTGTACGGGTTCTTCAAGCAGGCCACCGAGGGCCCGTGCACGCAGCCGGCGCCCTCCTTCTGGGACGTCGTCGGCAAGGCCAAGTGGGCCGCCTGGAAGAACCTGGGCGACCTGCCCTCCGAGCAGGCCATGACCTCGTACGTCGACGAAATCAAACAGGTCAGCAGCGAGGCGCGGACGGCGGCCACTCGCAGGCGCAGTTAGCGGAACTGACCGCGTTACTCAGCAGGAACGTCTAATTTCCTTTTAGTAACCAGTAGTTCTAGGTGTGGCATGGCTGCTGCACCTGGGCTCAATCTCATTATTGATATAAAGTAAATAGTACATGATGCCGTAAGCTGGGTTTGGCAGCACTGGCTAAGTCCAGGTGCAGAAAAAGGCTATTAAATGCAAAAGTTTCTTACGCGTCGTATACTGACGGTCCCAGGAATTGTTTCGTTGACTCACTCACGCATTAGCCAACACTGGTATCGCTGCACAGTGCACACGTTAGCAAATGCTGTGAATGGAATAGTACGGCAAAGATTGGACTCTGAAAAACCGCTACATATCCCCAGCTCCCTAGCCTGTTGTAATCTCTCCATTTTGTTTGTGCGTGCGTGCGCGTGATGCATATGAATGTCGAGAGTAGGCATATGGCCGCCGGCTGTCACCTTGGAAAATCACAGGTCAAAGCTCAATGGGAGCTGATCTCGGGCATTCAAGGGTCCTTGACTCAGTCCCACGTGCCAACGACGAGTGCCGGCGCTCGAGGCTGCTCGCTGTCGGCGGTCACGTGACTCGGTCCCCCAGTGCCGACTCCAGAGACAGTGCCCGGGCCCTGTTTCACGCCACGACGCTACAGTGCGCTACGCTATGTTACGGTATTGGTGCGACGTTTGAGACGAATTCGCCTAAACAAACTCGGACGCTCCAGCGTTGCGAGCGTCCGAGTTTGTTGATGTTTCCATGGAAACCCACTACACCGATACGCGTAGCGCACCGTAGCGTCGTGCCGTGAAATAAGGGCCCGCCCGGCCTGTGACTCGGCTCCCGTGCCGACGTTTCAGATCGTCCGCGCGCTGTTTGAGAGCAGCCCCATCCGGATACGTGGACTTTCCTCGTAGTGTCGCCTCTTATTAGGTACTCGATGAACCGAAGACAACGCTTTGGCTGGCCTCGCAAATACACCCACTCAGAGCATGGGGACTAAGTTTTTTAAAGGCGTGTTTGTGAAGTTTGGTGCTGTTATGGGATTAACGAAGATATTTGCAGGCGAGCAGTGCCGGCGCTGATTTCGTAGTTCTTTGTCCAGCGCCTCGGTCCGACCGGCTGGACCTGGTCGCGGTGACGCTGTTTTTGCGCGCTGCTCACTCTGTCGTCACTGCGATTGATGATGGCTCTTCCCTCCTTGATATGACAAGTGTGACACCCCTCCATCAGGTAAACTGCAGTGTAAGCTGATGTCTTCAAGCAATTAGTACCTGCTAGCAAAGGGGAAAGCATAATTGGTTGCATGAGTATTGAATATCTTAACTTTATGTCTCATTTCACAACATTGCTTACATTAATGCAAAAAGAGCCAGTTGTTGTTTGTCTTTGCATCGGTCGCACCTCTCGTCCAAAGCTCGCGGAGCTGTCCGGGGTCTGTGGCTGCCTGTGATTCAGGCTTTGCATCCAGTTCAGAGCGGAAGCGAGAGGCGCGGCGTCTAATCCCTACCGTGATACGGTCGGTGCGCGCCGGCCCCTCGGGACCTGTTTGAGGCTTATACGACAGGCTGGGGAGGTGTTCTCAGCGCGCGGTGCCGGCCGGCCGCTCCGCGCCCCACACCTCCGTGTGAACAGCACGGCAACTGTGGTACACCCGTACTGTACGGACCGTCAGCGGTACACCGGTACCTGTACGGACCGTCAGCGGTACACCGGTACGGATCGCCAGTGGTACACCCGCACCGGTACGGACCGTCAGCGGTACACCCGTACTATACGGACGGTCAGCGGTACATTCGCACTGTACGGGCCGTCAGCGGTACACCCGCACTGGTACGGACCGTCGGTACGGACCGTAAGCGGTACAGCGGTACGGACGGTCAGGGGTACACCCGTACCGGTACGGACCGGTGGCAGTACCGGAGTGAGCGTCCCACGGCGACCACACTGGCCTGACCTGCGGTGCTATATTGATATTGGAGGCGGTCTCGCTTCCCGGCGATCGACAGGGAAGTTACGTGCTGGAGATCAATGCCTATTGACGTTGGTATCGGTTCCGGCTGCGCCTCGAGTCCGGGCTGGCGGTGCTGGTCCTCTGTTTGGTTTTCAGGCAATGTGAGCCCAGTCTGAATCTGGGTGAAAGAGAGGTCTCGGGGATTGCTAGCGACCCAGAGCCGATTCTGTTAGCTGTCGGTCAGACCCGGGTAGGTGTTCACTGCCGTACAGTGATTGGCGGCTGCCAGACCGATTTTCAGCGATATGCTGATGTACCGAGCGGCTGCAACACGACGCTCTCTGTACCGGTCGGATTTCCGCCGGCAGCAGGTCGCTGTGATGGGCTGTGTCCGTCTGCGCTGGACGACGGCGGACAGGTGGAGGGTGTCGGGGCTGCGGCTCTGCCGCTCCTTCCCCCGGGCTGGCCGCGTGCCCCGGTCGGACGGTGTCGGCTCGGCGAAGGCTGTCGGCTCGGTTACTCGGTCGCCCGCACCTCCCGGCCGGCGGCGGGTCGCGGGCGCCGGTCGGACGGTGTCGGCTCGGCTGCTCTGCCGGCCCGGCCCGGCGGCTCCGTGCCCCGGTCGGACGGTGTCGGCTGGGTGGCTGTGCCGGCCCGGCGGCGGCTCCGTGCCCCGGTCGAACAGCATTCCCGGCGGCCGTCGCTCCGTCTCGGTCCGGTCGGCCCGGTCCGTCCGCCGGCCGGAGAGAGTCGTACTCTGCAGCCGAGAACCGGACCGTCTGCCGCCGCCGAGCACGGCGTGGAAAAATTCACACAAACTCGCCTGCACGCCCCGCCACGACCCGCCAGCTGCGCGCAGCGCTGCGTTATCGTAACAACCTCAAGGGATTTTAAAGTGGTTCGCTATTCCGTTCGTTTTTCAGGGTCTTCGTTTGCCTCATTTATATACAAGGTGCTAGGATAGCCAGTTTCAAAATGTTTTTCCTGTTTCAGAAGACGTCAGACTATTGCGCAATGGCGCATTTTAATTTATAATGAGGGCTCGTTCATGCAGAGCTACATTCCATCTTGTGTGGTGTTGAAACGGTGACTTCTGTGAGACTCGGCAACGGTGAATCTGCAATCCCCGATTTCCGTCGTGATCACAGACGTCACAGTCGTACTATGCATGGCTCAATAATATATTTTTTCATTGATTTCCAGGTCACGACTGACGAGCTAGAAACTTTCGTTTTCAGCCATGTGACCAGTATCGATTTTAAAAAGGCTACTCACTTAGTTCATAGGCTCTGACGTGCAGAGACAGTATTGTTAAAGCTCCACAATCGGCAATGTTTTTTTTTGTCACGATCCCCCCCCCCCCCTCCTTGACCCACCCGGCCGCTCTGCATCAGGCGATTTAGACGATATGGCTCCCTCGGACCCCCCCCCCCCCTGCCGCTATCTATTCGGTGATTTAGACGATGTGGCTCCCTCGGATCCCCGCTGACAATGCCGTCGGCTCGGCCGCAGCGCAGGTGATGAATATGTCGCTCCCTCGGCCCCTCCCCCGCTGACGATGCCGTCGGCTCGGCCGCAGGTGATGGAGACGATGTCGCTCACGGACGACGTGGCCCACCTGATGGACACCCTCGGACCCGTCTACGAGTACGTCGACGACGACGGGGCCGACGGCCGCAGCGCGCGCAAAAAGCACGTGCACTTCTCGGCCGACGAGGGCGCGCCGACCACCAACGGGCACGGCGCGCCGGCGGCGTCCGAGGACGGCACGGAGCCGGCCGAGGAGGTCGGGAGTGCGGCCGCGCTGCCGAACGGCTCGCCGCCGCCGCGTGCCGAGAGGTGGGCCGGCTCGGCTACCTCCGATACCGATACGGACGACGAGTTCAACGACCCCATCGGCGTGAGTGGGGGGGGGGGGGGGTTCAGTGTGACGGTGGGCTGCACACCCGGGTCACAGTGCACGCCGAGCTGAACGACCGCCAACCGCGTGAAACGGCTCGTTATCGTAGCAACTACAAGCGACTTTAAAAGTCTTGTGAGATATCGCTATGAATCCCGCTCTAGCTTTAAACTTAAAGGTAGTGTGCCACCTTTGAAAGATTTCCCATTTTATTTTTCCTAGGATAAGAAGCTTCTGTTTTTACCTAATATCGCAAAAAAAAAAATCAAAAATGGGCCTGGAATAGTGCCTTTTTCGCCTAAACGTTTATCGGTTTTTCGATATGTATAACAACTGTAGTGGGCTGACCTGCAAATAGGCGTCGGCAACAATCGCGAATGCGGCGCACATGTGACAATAAGCAAAGGTCATTATAGAGTTACGACGTACGGGAATGAGTTATCAGCTGTCTAATCGTAGACAACACAATGTCGAGCCTTAAACTGTAAGCCTGTATTGGTATTGTTTCTTTTATTTGGCTGTCGAACATTATTTATGGTTTGAAATATGATTTTATGTAAAATAATTGATATGAAAAAGCCGTCTCGTAAGTTATGACCCCATTTCACCACACGCAAGTGGCAGAAATGACAATGATCAGCTGACGCATTTTTCTTGGCCGAAGTCAGAGCGCGCGGCCCGACGCACCACCACCGCACCACAAAGTATGAGCAGAAGCCGCGCCCAAAGCCAGGGCCCCGGTAACGTGAGGTAGCCGAGTCGGGGCAGCGTGCGCTGACCCAAGCCGGGGCCGCAGCTTTGGGCGCGGTCTACCGCATCCCCGCGGGCAGGCCCGCGCTATCACATGACACCGGGAGGACGCGCGGCCCCGGCTTGGGTCAGCGCACGCTGCCCCGACTCGGCTACCTCACGTTACCGGGGCCCTGGCTTTGGGCGCGGTCTACCGCACCACCTACCAGGCGTGTTCGAAACCGCAGGAGATGATGATGAACTTGTTTATCGAAACTTGATTGGGTGAGCATATCGGTAATAGCGATTTCAGTGTGTGCATTTATTGTTCATCGTGGTGTGAAATGTGGTTGGGGTACGACCGACAACCCGTCGGGGCGAATTTCGCACTGGGGTACTCAAAATTTGAAGAATTTAAGACGTTTCCATGAGTTTTGAAGGTATGGATAAGTTCTAAAAATCCGGTTCTCCTTATCTGGGCCATTAACTTCATACGGTCCAGGAAAGCTGGCACACTACCTTTAAGGCAAACACCGTTCTCGCATTCTACACCAAGGAAGTCACACTTAGTACAGTATACCACAATTTTCGATATCGTATAAAGCGAGTGCGACATTATGGTATCTTGCTTAGCGCGTGGTTGTTTCTGTCCATCTAAGTTATTAAGTCTGGATGCTGCTATCCGCTGCGGTATTGGCCACTATGCTTTTCACGTGACCGTGACTTATGCTGCTGACTTTCGATATACGCCAGAGCCAGACTCTGTGACTGTGACTGTGACTGGTCACAGGAGGCGGAGCCGGTCTGAGCACGGAGGTCCATGTGACTGTGACTGTGCTGACTGTGACTGTGACTGTGCTGACTGTGACTGTGACTGTGACTGACTGTGACTGGTCACAGGAGGCGGAGCCGGCGCTGGGCCGCAGTCTAAGCACGGAGGCGCGGCTGGACGCCCTCCACCAGCAGCTGACGGCACTGGCGCGGATGGTCGACTCGGCGGGACCTCGGCTCCACTCCCGAACCACGGTACGGTCCGCGGGCGCTGACGGGGAGGGAGGGGGTCGGGCTGCCCTGTCTGCCGGTCACACTGAGTGCGTGGCGTCCCTGGCGACTGCTGACCGCCTGTCCTCTCCACCGCAGGACGGAGCGGCGCTCACCAACGGCGTGCATCCCACGTCCAGCGCCGCCGCCGCGGTCACTGCGTCCGCACCGGCCTCCAGCTGCCCCGGTAGGTGTCTTTGATCTAGTCGGAAATCGACTGAGCACGACGTGACTGGCGTCATTGTTGGTAACCTACGTCAGCACCTACGAAATTTTCCTTTAATGCTAGGTCTCAAATTGATGCAACAGATCTTACTCTAATCATATGTCTTCATTGTTTGCAGGGTTGGGCAGATAAATTGGGACAAAATACATATTTGCATTCAGAACACCATAGCTTAGAAATTTGTAAACGTAGACATTTCAAATTTGGATCACATATTGTCACACCAATTTTATACGAAATACGAAATTTTCCTTTAATGCTAGGTCTCAAATTGATGCAACAGATCTTACTCTAATCATATGTCTTCATTGTTTACAGGGTTGGGCAGATAAATTGGGACAAAATACATATTTGCATTCAGAACACCATAGCTTAGAAATTTGTAAACGTAGACATTTCAAATTTGGATCACATATTGTCACACCAATTTTACACATTTATCACCAAATATGGTCATCGTGGTCCACGCGCATCAGTCCTTATCGGTGCCTGGACTGGCCGCACGCGCGGCGAGATCTCCCGTCTGAAATGGCTCGTAATTGTAGCTAACTGGCACTGCTGAGGCTCACCACAGTCACATGGGGACGTTCGTTAGACTCACCCGCAAAAACGCCCCAGCAACCAGAACTCGTGTGGGCTGAGGTTTAATGAGGAAGGGGGCATTTTCCCTTGGGTACAGTTTGTGGGATCCTCCGTTTCAGGAGATTTTGTATTTAATTTACTGTATGCCGGGGAGCTGACTCCTCGAAGAGCATCACTCCATGCAGGATGTTGCCTTCTTCCATCTTGTTGATTCGAACTGCCGGAATAATGGTTAGATACGCTGTAATGGCGAACCCCCTCCCGATTCCGTAAAATAAGGGGGCCCCACGTGGCCGTCAGAAGTCATCGAGTGAAATGCCATCACCGAGGTCTGCTGCATGCTTTTTGGAACTAAGATCACGTCTTCTGGGCTGGTTGCGATGTATCATGGTGTTTGCGCTTGTTCATATGTTCGGTTATGGGGATACCATCGTCGCAAAAAGACCTGCACGTGCTTGCTCGCTTCTCCAAGCCCTTCAAGAGGAAACAATCTTTAGTAACGTCACAGCTGCTTCAACATCTATGTTAACAGGTTGATATGCATCAATGCATAAGAGTACATGTTTGAGGTGCTGTTATATCGCTTTCTCATGGCGCGGCTACCTTCGCTGTAAGCTCGCGCCACTGTTTTCGCGAGGATCCTCTGATTTAACTGAATTTTGCCTTTTAGCCCCCCTGGAAAACCGGGGGAGCGGCCGGTGTCAATGCAATAAGTATGTAAGGATGAGTCAACATTTTCTCTTCCTCCAACGCTTACGTCTGTTCGATACACACTACTTTCAGCCATTTGATGGAACATAATTAGAATATTGGCATGCATGTGCGCGCGGACTAAGTTGATAGTGACTTGCTTAACCCATATATGCATGAATTAATTTTTTGTCGAGTATTTTTATGAAACTTTCTAGCATTGTTAAACAACATGTTACTAAGCTGCTGACATCAACTGTTTTGTTTTTACATTTAGTGCTTGCCTGATATGCTCGTTCAAAGTGACGTACAAAAATGTACGTCTATGCCAGGTGTCAACAAGACAATTGTGACGTCTGCCGCCGCCGTCCTAAAATAATACATCCGATATCCCTAATACAATGCTAACGTCTTTCGTACTTCAGAAGCGATGTATGAGGGATGGGTTGGGGTGGGGATGGGGTTGTGGAGGGGGTAGGGTGACGTCATGTCATCGTTAACCTGGGCGAGGGGAATAACTTGTGTTGTACGAGTATGGTCAAATATGATGTATGATATGTTGTGTTGCATTAGAGACCCTTGTAAATGGTAGTTACAATTCATACGTTGAATTATAAATAGATGTAGATCATGTATGATGAAAATAAGGAAATTTGCAAAACACAACTCAATTATGTCAACTTTTACCGTCTATTGAAAACTTGTCTCATGTACATAATAGTCAACATAGTAGATCTATAAAAAGAGCACGTTGTCAATGGCGATCAGGAGGCGTTCTGCTGCTGGCCACCGACGCGGTGACCCTGTGCTCCCCTGTGGCAGTCACAGTCCGGCGCCCGGCGCGCTCCATGCTGACTACCTGACTGCAGAGCTTCTTGAGGAGACAGAAGATGTAGCCGTTCCGCTGGGGACCTTCGCCCAGGACGTCTGCCTCGTCCACGCAGCTGACGCGTCGGTCGTCGTAATGGCACCACCTGTCCCGTCCCACACTGTACACGTCAGACACTGTCCCGAGCGCTTGGCCCCGCTGTAATGACTAAAGACGGCCATCAGCCGGACGTAAAGTCGCCGGCATGGTCAGCGGAGCAGAGCGACTGGTCGCCCTCGACTTAGAACTCGGAGAGGTGCGTCTGTCCAGGGGCGTCGGCCGGCTCTTCCTTCCCCAGTGACGGCATGATGGCCTCTTGGAACTCGTGATCCTCGACCACGTCCATCCAGCGGATAACAGCCGCACTGCAGCCGTTGTTGGCAGTCGTAAATGCTTCGATGGTCTGATTGGACTTCTTCTTGAAGGCGTTGATGTCGGTGAACTTGTTCGCCTTCAGAAGGCGATTCCCTCACATGGTACCCGTGCCATGGAACTGGCGCTTCTGGATCTCTGCTGCAAAACCGATCATCAGGGTCAAGCTTGGTGCTGCTTTGGAAGTGACATACATCCATAATCATCCCGAACCGGTTGAAACGGTGGGTGCGACCAGTTACGGGCTCAGTTACGTCTTTACGGCTCAGTTAAGTCTTTACGGCTCAGTTACGTCAGTTACGGCTCAGACCAGTTACGTCAGGCGGGCAGGGTCAGCATTCTCTTCGTCGCTAGAGTCTTCGTTTGTGTCGACGCGAACTTCCGGCGGCTCTAGGACGACGACCGTGACATCGGCGACTCGACTTCGCTCCTTGATGCCATCCAGAACAGGGCTGCGGAGTCGGAGTCGGAGTCGAAATCGGTCGGAGTCGACAATTCTGACCGGAGTCGGAGTCGATTTTGGAAACCGGAGCCGGAGTCGGAGTCAGAATCACCGACAAATCCATCGACTCCGCTGACCTGGCAGGGCTGCTGAGACGGGAGTCGGAGTTGGAGTCGGTCGGAGTCGATAGTTCTACCCGGAGTCGAAGTCGGAGTCGGAGTCGGAGTCGGAGTCGGAGTCACTGAAAATCCATCGACTCCCGCAGCCCTGATCCAGAACATCGTTGAGGCTCACATTTGCCATCAAACCAAAGCATAAACGTGTTTGATGTTTGGGAAACAAAATGTAACGGATATGCATAGACGTACATTATTGTACGTGCGTTTTTGTGAAACGTACTATTTTTGGATTTGCTTGGTAAGCAAAATTAGCATTATAATGACACCACTCATGAAGTTAGGGTCATGCTTGAGCAGATTGCTGGCAACGAAAGCTAATCCGGGAAAAGCACTTAACTATAATTAAGAACACTTGGCTCACCCTGGGTCGAGCGTCTGAACGGGTGAAAATCTTCCCGTTGCGGCATCAACAAACCGAATGTCTGAAACTCAACACTGAATGCATTGGAACCGTGTTTTTTGGTATTCACCTGACGGCTAACAATGTAAATGATTTAGAACGACCGCGTTTGATGGCTCATTAGCTCTATTTCTATAAAGATGGCACACATTGGTCAACTCAAATTGACGTACATTTAGGTATGTACGTCTATGCATATATGGGTTAAGCCCACGTTCTGTGACCAGCCGACTCAAAATTACAACGCAACCTGCATAACATGGAAAAGTATTCATTAGCCTATATTTATGTTCAAAAATTATCTTAATCACTCAAAAAATAGGCGTTTTAGAGGAAGTTGAAATTTGTCCCAATTTATCTGCCCAACCCTGTAGTTATTATTTTACTTTCATTATTTGGGTAGCATATTGTCTTAATCATTTTGTTTTTATATTGTTTTAATTATTTGTTGTAATTATTTGTTTACTCTAATTGTTTGTTTAGAAGATACTTCAGAAAAAACGAGATGGCGCCTGTAGTCTGTAAAGTGTAGGCCCACGACACCTCAGAGCGAACTTGTGATAAAGTGTTGACCTTCCCGGCGAGCAGGCTGCTCGACCTCACTGACTGGCCAGAGTGCTGCGCGGGCCCTGCGGCGCGTGTTGTTGCAGCCGCCGCGCCCGCAGACCAGTTAATGAGCGGCTCGTACCGCGGCGGCGCTGTGCCCTGGGGCCGCTGAGCTGCTCCGCGCGCCGACCCCTAATTACCTGTGTGCGTGTGTGCGCCGGGCCGGGCCCGGTGTCTGACGGAGCGGCGGCGCGCTGTCTTGTCCAGCAGGCGTCCACGACGAGCTGCGCGCCCTGGTGCGCGACATGAGAGACGACCTGGACACGGTGACGGGCCGGCTGCGGCGGCTGGAGGCCGGCGCCGGCGCCGAGCGGGAGCAAAAGGTCAGCCGGGCCTCCCTACCCGCCTCCCCCCGTCCTCACCTAACCTACCTACCCACCTCCCGGTCCCGGCGCGCAGCGGGAGCACAGGGTCAGTCAGGCCTCCCTACCCGCCTCCCTCCCTCCCTCCCTCCCTCCATCCCACCCAGTACACCTCCCTACCCGCCTCCCTCCCTCCCTCCGTCCTACCCAGTACACCTACCTACCCACCTACCTCCCGGCCCCTGCGCCGAGTGGGAGCAAAAGGTCAGCTGGGCCTCCCTACCCGCCTTCCTCCCTCCCTCCGTCCTCACCTAACGTACCTACCCACCTCCCTCCCGGTCCCGGCGCGCAGCGGGAGCACAGGGTCAGTCAGGCCTCCCTACCCGCCTCCCTCCCTCCCTCCCTCCCTCCATCCCACCCAGTACACCTCCCTACCCGCCTACCTCCTGGCCCCGGCGCGCAGCGGGAGCACAGGGTCAGTCAGGCCCAGTTACTTCCGTCCTTCCCTCCGTCCTTACTCCCTAGTCCTACCTAGTGCCTACCTCCCTCCGTCCCCGCCTGCATCCCTTCCTCCCTCTCGTCATCTCTCGCTCGCTCTCGCTCTCTCTCGCTCTCGCTCTCGCTCTCGCGCTCTCTCTCTCGCTCTCTCTCCATCGCTCTCGCTCTCGCTCTCTCTCCATCGCTCTCGCTCTCGCTCTCTCTCCATCGCTCTCGCTCTCTCTCTCTCTCTCTCTCTCTCTCTCTCTCTCTCTCTCTCTCTCGCTCTCGCTCTCGCTCTCGCTCTCGCTCTCGCGCTCTCTCTCTCTCTCTCTCTCTCTCTCTCTCTCTCTCTCTCTCTCCTCTCTCTCTCTCTCTCTCTCTCTCTCTCTCTCTCTCTCTCTCTCTCTCGCTCTCGCTCTCCCTCTCTCTCTCTCTCTCTCTCTCTCTCTCTCTCTCTCTCTCTCTCTCTCTCTCTCTCTCTCTCTCTCTCTCTCTCTCTCCCCTTTTACCTAACTGACACCTAGCACCTAGCTGACTCATTTCGAGTCCGTTGTGGTCCGTTTTATACTGTTGTGGCAGCCTTCATGTACCGCTCCTCTGCTGCCGTGTTTGACCGCAATGTCCAGCCGTTTCTAAATATATGTGCCGCCCCTGTGCTGCGGTGTGTGACCCAGCGTCTTGCCGCAGTCCTGTGTCACCCAGTGTGTCACCCAGTGTCCGGCCGCTGTCCAGTCACCCAGTGACCGGACGCTGTCCTGTGTCACCCAGTGTCCCTGTGTCACCCAGTGTCCCTGTGTCACCCAGCGTCCGGCCGCTGTCCTGTGTCTCCCAATGTTTGGCCGCTGTCCTGTGTCAGCCAGTGTCCCTGTGTCACCCAGTGTCCCTGTGTCACCCGGTGTCCCTGTGTCACCCAGCGTCTGGCCGCTGTCCTGTGTCACCCAGTGTCTGGCCGCTGTCCTGTGTCACCCAGTGTCTGGCCGCTGTCCTGTGTCACCCAGTGTCCCTGTGTCACCCAGCGTCTGACCGCTGTCCTGTGTCACCCAGTGTCCAGCCGCTGTCCTGTGTCACCCAGTGTCTGGCCGCTGTCCTGTGTCACCCAGTGTCTGGCCGCTGCCCTGTGTCAGCCAGTGTCTGGCCGCTGTCTGTGTCAGCAGTGACCGGACGCCGATCTGACCGTCCCTGACCCGTGTCCTGGCAGCGTGGCCCGGCCGTGGTGGCAGTGTGTGCACTGTGCCCGCTGTCCTGTGTTTGCCCGCTCTGTGTCTGGCCGCTGTTCTGTGCCTGCCCGCTGTCCTGTGCCTTTAGCCGCTGTCCTGACAGTGGGTCCTCCGTTCCGGCAGAGCGTCCCGTCCCGGCCGTGGTGGCAGGTGCCCGAGCTGTCAGTGGCCTCAGTGCTGGTGCTGCTGGCCTGGCCGCTGGTGCTGCAGCTGGTGCTGCGCCTCGTCACCAGCCGCCGGCGCCGGTAGTGACGCACTGGTGACACGCCAAACACCAGGGGAGTCAGTGGAGCGGCGACAGCTGATACCAGGTGAAAGCCACGCGCTGTGACCGGCACCTGGCCAGACACCCGCGGCTCCTGGCCAGACACCCGCGGCTGCTGGCCAGACCGGCCTGTACGGAGATAGGGGGCGTCACCAGCCGATGTGGCCATGGCAGCTGACAACTGCTACCGTTACCGTGATTTTGTACAACACTCTACACCTGCACCCTCGGTGATTAGAGTGAACCGATGCGATAAATAATATGGGAAAGGGCGGCGCCCGCTTCCAGTGGGGTTGGGTTCTGACTGGGCTGTCGTGGTGGGGTGACGGTGCTAATTATTGTGGGGATTGAATAACATTGCTCCCAATGATGTGCGCGAGCACAATGCCCAGTAATGAACGTAGGTACCCATTCCAAATTGGCTGTCCAGTGATCGCATATGTATCTGATGGGGTGGTGGGTGGGGAGTTATCCAGTGGGTGCCTGGGTCTACTGGCGGAGTATTTGTGAGTGAGTGAGTGAGGAGCGAGTGAGTGAACCAGCGCTGGCCGCTGGCGGTGCCGAGCGGCCGCCCCGGCTGGCTGGCTGGTGGGCCCTGCACCATACTACCGGACGTTTTACGTGGCCGGCGGACACGGCCGGTGGCTGGCGGCCGCCGGAGGACGGGCGCCCCGCCGTCCAGTGCTTTACACCGGGAGCTGCCGAGTAGTCGCCGGCTGGCTACCTATATATGCTTACACTACCTTTTTGTTATTGGGATGTGCTGTCTAGGTGTAGTTTCGTTCTGTTTGTCGGGTCCGTTGTTATACTTTATATCGGTGATCTGTCGAGCTTACGAGCTGTAAGCTAGCGTCAATACCTGACCGGTGTGAACGGAGGGGTGTACGTACCTCCGAGTCACCGAGGGCCGGTACCTGACCTGTGTGAACGGAGGGGTGTCCCCCGGGTCACCGGGCAGTCGGGTGCCGGTACCTGACCTGTGTGAACGGAGGGGTGTCCCCCGGGTCACTGGGGCCGGTACCTGACCTGTGTGAACGGAGGGGTGTCCCCCGGGTCACTGGGGCCGGTACCTGACCTGTGTGAACGGAGGGGTGTCCCCCGGGTCACTGGGAGCCGGTACCTGACCTCTGTGAACGGAGGGGTGTCCCCCGGGTCACCGGGCAGTGGGTGCCGGCACCTGACCTGTGTGAACCGTCCCCCGGGTCACTGGGGGCCGGTACCTGACCTGTGTGAACGGAGGGGTGTCCCCCGGGTCACTGGGGCCGGTACCTGACCTGTGTGAACGGAGGGGTGTCCCCCGGGTCACTGGGAGCCGGTACCTGACCTCTGTGAACGGAGGGGTGTCCCCCGGGTCACTGGGGCCGGTACCTGACCTGTGTGAACGGAGGGGTGTCCCCCGGGTCACTGGGGCCGGTACCTGACCTGTGTGAACGGAGGGGTGTCCCCCGGGTCACTGGGGCCGGTACCTGACCTGTGTGAACGGAGGGGTGTCCCCCGGGTCACTGGGCAGTGGGTGCCGGTACCTGACCTCTGTGAACGGAGGGGTGTCCCCCGGGTCACTGGGGCCGGTACCTGACCTCTGTGAACGGAGGGGTGTCCCCCGGGTCACTGGGGCCGGTACCTGACCTGTGTGAACGGAGGGGTGTCCCCCGGGTCACTGGGTGCCGGTACCTGACCGGTGTGAACCGTCCCCCGGGTCACTGGGGCCGGTACCCGACCGGTAGGGAGTCGGGAGCGGTGCTTCTGTTTGAACCAGAGATGGAGATTGTTATCGTCGCGGCCAATCGCGGACACCACAGTAGTTTATAACTCATAGCCCCTGGTTTCCTGCGAGGGCAGGGGTATCTCGGTGTCCCGGAGGCGTGTGGCCCGCTCGGCAGCCAGTTGTGTGCATGTGCGCGCGGCAGACCCGCCTGCCGGGGGATGTCTGCTCCGGCGCCGCCGACACCGGCCCGGGTAGGGCGCTGTCGCCGCCGGCTGCCACAGACAAGCCAACTTACGAGTGTACAGGCCGGTGCACTGACAGGCCAATGTACCAGTGTACACTGTACAGGTCGGTACACTGTTGTTATCGATACCAATAGTTTATTTTATTGTCTGCGATTGTGTGCCGACGTTTCGTGATGAATCACGGCGGCGCGTGACTAAATATATGATGATCACATCGATACTAGATGCGATGTTTAGTTGTTAAGTATTTTTCACAGTCTTCAGAATTCACATCCCTAACCCTCGCCTGTTTGCGGCGTTTTCCAGCGTCTAAGACTAATGTGTAGGGGTTCCGTTGGACCCTCCTGCCGTTCTGCCCCTGACTGAGCTAGAACTTCGCGGAAAAGACGAACGTGTTGCCCGTGACGGGAGGAAGCCGATGATACCCAATTTTAAGGTTCCTGACCTTCCAGGTCAGGTCAATGACCCAAAGGCCGGGAAAATGGGGAATTGTCAGAACTCCGTAATGTCGGGCTGTTTTAGTTTTTTTTTTCGAGGCGCTGGTCACGAATCTACTCGGATCTAAGCCGTAATCGCCACGCCATATGTGGAAGGCTTTTGATGTCAATACATACATACATGCATACATATATACATACATACAATTACATGTTAGTTTTGATCCACGATGATGTTTTCATGCATTAAGGCCAGGTCGGGTCAGGTCAGGTCACCTAGTAGGGGTTCTGCCGGATATTCATAGTAAGTGTCGACCACCACTGGTAGCTTTGTAACTTGGTACGAAGGCACCAAAGCTGGGGCATTCCACGTCAAATCGAACAAAAATCGGCTGTTTTGCACCTTACCATCAGCGATTTCATTATAAATTTGTGAGCGAGTTCCTGTGTCGCCCCGAACATTACATTGATGTTTTTTGCACATTCTGACCACAGGTCTTCTAAATATAGGGCATCGAATTTTTACAAAATGTTGCATCTTTATATTTTTGAACGACCATAACTTTGGTTTTACTTGTTTGATTTGAATGAAATAAACCTTACTGTTTAGGTAATTTCTTAAGCATTTGTTTAGAATTGCACCTACTTAAATATATGACCTTGAAATTTGCTTAACTCTGTTCTTAAGCACAAAAATTGAAATAGCAAAAAACACGTCACCTTCGATTTGGCTAATTTTCATATATTTTATTGCCTACCATATTCTTAACAACCTGTGAAAAAATTAGAGTGGGCCATTCATAAGTTTGGAAAAAAATGGCACATATGCAAACGTATGTTAGCACGCGCAGTGGAGGGGGAAGAGTGAATTTCGCCCCACCCCTCCTGTTTTTCGCCAATATCTCATGTTATTAATGCGAAATTAATTAAAGTTATCTGTCCACAATTGAATTGCACATCTCATCGTGCAAGCAAGAAGAAAATCGGTTCACAACTGGTCTAGTAATAGCGGTGTAAAGTGAACATCCTGTCGCCGCGGCGACGCGGCAACTCGGCAGCCGGCGCCGACCGCTAGCCGCCGCCTGATTTGTAGACTGTGCCGGGACGGAACGGAGCGGTTCCGTCTTTACATCGCGCTCCTTACCGCTGATTACGTTCGATTCGCGTCAAACTTTGTGAGAAGACTAAGAAATCTACAGGCAATTTTATGGTGTAAGAATTTTGAAAATCGGTTGGTAAACAACTGAAATATGAACGTGTAAACACAAAATTGTGATTGCTGCGTTTCCCGCGTCGGCCGATCCCGCCTCAGCCGGCGACATGTTACTCTTAGCAGGTCTCTAACTGCCATATTTATTATTGGATTAACTAGAAATTCGCCATTCATACTCGAAAATGTATATTCTTTCGTATAGTGAAGATAAAAAGACGTGAAGATATCGTTGCGTGATAATGTTTTCGTTGAATTTTTGGCTTCATGATGCATTTCCACACGGCTCAAAATTCACCGCAAAATACCGTTTGCCTGAGACACTTTTACTATGGAACTTGAATGCTTGACTACGATGACTATGTATTTCCATTCTCGCAGAGTTTGGGATATCACTAATCAGCAATCATTCATTTCAGAAAGTGTACACAAGCAAGCATGTCTTGACTCTGTCTTTCAAGGTCACGCGCGGTTGGGTGATGTTGATGCATGAAAACGGCGTTTGCCGCGAGAGTTATGAATGGCCCACTCCAATTTTTTTCACAGATGGTTAGGAACATTGTGACGGACATAATATGTAAAAATTACCCGAATCGAAGGTGACGTGTTTTTGCTATTTAAATTTTTCTGTTTTAATTCAAGGTCAAATGCATTTCAAGGTCACTTCAATTTAATTTTATAATTAAAAATCAAAGCCTTATCAATTGCCTACAAGACCCTGTTAATATCATTTTGATACCAGAAAAGGAACCAGAGTTATAGACATTTAAAAAATTGAGGTGTGGCATTTTTGGCTAAATTTGATGACCTATATCTCAGCGATACTGTATCAAATTTCGAAAATATTATACGTAACTCAGTTTTGAATCATGCCCAGTCTGCCTACAAATTTTCAGAAAAATCGAAGGGGATGACGGATTTCGGTGTTTAATTTGACGTGGAACGCCCCAGCTACTTCGTAAACGTTAAAATGGTTGCTACACATTGTACACATTGTACATTTGAAATCAGCCCCAAAAACTACCTTAGAAACATGTAAAACTCGAAAAAGTGAGCCAAGTTAATTAAAGGCCAATGACCTGACCTTCACGTGACATTGATACCCACCGTAGTGCATGGGAACAACATCGTTTCACATGCTTGAACGTTTAAAACCACAAAAAGACTGCAAACGCGCGGATAATGTGAGCCGACATACCCCGAATCGCGACTCCGGCCAAACATGGTCTCGAGAAATGGGGCACAGTTCAAAGGTCATTTAGGTCAGGGTCATGCAATTTTAAGGGTATGTGTAAAATTTATTAAGTCGAGAGAACTAAATATGTTGTTATGATCGGCCGCTTTTTACGCGAGCTTCGCGAAAAACCGAGGAAGGTCCGTTAACCCCCCCCCCCCTATAAGTACGAGGGTTAAATTGGAGAAATATCAGCTTAAAGCTAAGTGTTAAATAGCCAAGAATAAAGGACAAATCAATCGTTTACTGGAGAATTCAAGCCATTGCATCTGCACGAACCTAGAATATCCTATTTTCTGAGTTTTAAAGTTAATGTAAAATTAGTACCTACCGCCCACTTCTCCTCAGGCTCCCTGAGCTCATTATGGTGCTTTATCCTTTGAGGAGTGGTGCGATGTGTTATCACGCATGCCAAATTGTGACACATCTACTTTTTCAAACAAAGACTGAGGTCGCTGACGTCGCTGACTTCACGCAAGGGTGATGCAGGGCCACAAAGTATCGTGTGAGTGAGTGTTCCTGAATTAAAGCAAAGTGTTTCAGTTGATTGAAGTCAAATGCTAAGTCTCACTACTTCAGGTATTAATGCCATTTCTGGGGCAAGCTGGTTAGGTGGGCTGAATTATAGCATGCCACCTTGCGATGGGTGTATATTACTCTGGTATTTTGCTTCATCTGACCTTCTTTGCGGTTTTGACCTTTGGTCACGTAAATATAACGGATTTCATACCGCATAATTACGTCAAAGATGTACCACCACCTCCAGACGGAGAGGATGGTAAACATCACGTTCGCCTCTCCATCCGATTCATCAATCTACTAGATGTGAACGAACTGACGAGCTTCATTCAACTGTCGTGTTTCTTCCGTGTCTACTGGGTCGACTCTCGTCTGCGCTCGCAATTAGCGTCGAAGCGAGCTCCTATAACGATTTCGGAGCTAGTCGCCAGGCGTCTTTGGCGACCGGACATTATTATTGAAAACACTTTGATGACTGTGAAAAATGGCATCATCAAGCCCACCGTATACAATGGCAGATTCTGGGGGCAGACCATGCTGGTATCCAACTACCTGTCCCTTCGAATCGGATGCTCTTTCCAGTATGAAGGATATCCTTTTGACGTGCAAATATGCAGCGTTGTTTTCACAAACATGGGAATGACTATAAGCGACATTCACTTGGACTGGGCTCATCCACCCTACTCCATGGAAAGGAATACTTTTCTCACGTTTCAAGACCGCTTCAAGATTCGTTTATGTGAGGACAAAACAGAACATGTCCGTCGAAGCAAGCTTGGTGAACATCCACAGAAAACACTCCTTGTCGTCATGGAGCGCAACTACATGACATACGTGGTACAGCTGTTCCTGCCAACCATCCTTTTCGTCTTGGTTGCCTGGTTCAGTATCCTGGTGCCGCCGACAATGCTGCGCACTAGGCTGCTGCTCAACACCACCAATCTGTTGACGTTGTTCTCCCTGTTTGTGGCCATATCACACGCCGAGGACACCTACATCCCCAAGGTCAGCTACCTGACGGCCCTCAGCCTGTGGATGTACGTCTGCGTCATGTTCCTTCTAAGTTCTATGCTGGTTGTCATCTTTGACATGCGTCTGATCGCGATACTGACGCAACCGCGACATAGACGCCGTGCTCGGAAGATAGTGATGGGCGTCTATAACCGGCGAGTCGCGCCACTCGGCTCCAACCAGACTGTCGAGTCTGCCCAGAAGGAGAGCACTGACCGTATCGCCGCCGCCGCCGCCGCCGTGGACAGCTCAGCCACCGCCAGACTGCGCCGGCAGGCCTCCGGGTTTCTGGCCGACGCCGGCGACGCCGACGGGGAGCTGATCATGAAGACGGTCAGCAAGCCGCTGACCGCGACGGCGTCCGACGCTTCCAGCGACGAAGACGAGATCGCGCACCGGCGTCACGTCTGGCTCACGCTAACCGCCTTCTACGAGCAAATATACCTCATGGCATTCCCGGTGCTGTTTTGCCTATTCCTGGTTATCTTCTTCTGGGTGTACGTTCGGCGGCGGCGCCTGCACCTGGAGCAGCTGCTGGGGACGCTTCGCGCCTCGAACGCGTCGGCCGGCTGCTGGTGCACCGATCAGGATGACTGGGTCGGCTGTATGGCCCCCCACCAGTACCGAGAGTACGAGTAATGGGGAGTGATGTCTAGGTCGCGGAGTGCCAACAAATAAGCCGTCAAATAAGCCGTTTCATGAATGTTTTGCGTAATTTGCCGTGTATGTGTGTGGGACGCGACCATTTTGTGAAGTGTTTTGAAAATATATGTGAACTGTGTGTCTGTACGCAAATGTCACACCGATCATTATCTTTTCTCAAGTACGTGGTAGATACATGCCTACATACCTACCTATCACAGGTAGCTTGCATCCCTTCAGTGTCTTATTTTCGACTTCACTATAGGTGGGGTGGGTGCTGGTAAGGCAAATTCGACCCACAGGCAGGGGCGGCGGATTCGGGGGGGCAGAGGGGGCAGCTGCCCCCCTGGCAAACTCGTGGGGGGCAAAAGTATCTTTTTGCCCCCCCCCCATAATTTGTGACATAAAACTTTGACAAGAAGCCATATATTAATTTTGTTCGATCATCTGAAGGTGTTATCAGATGCCCATATACTAGTCCAAACATACGTTGCCTTTCTTAAATGACAAGCGTAATTTGCGTTCAATAGAAGTTTCCCTCTCCTCAAACTCGTTTTAGAGGCAATATAAGCATAAGCGTCAACGTGACGCAGCGGCAGCCCAGGCCTTAAATGGCCGCTTTTAGGGGCGACGGATACGGGGCGGCAGAGGAAGCGTCGTCGACTCGTCACCTACGAAACTTTTGGAGCAGTGGCAAACGTATATTTTGCCCCTCCATAATTTGTGCCCTAAACATGGGGAAAATTTCCATAACTAATATTGTACCTATTCGCCCATACAGTTGGTCTAACCGTCACTTTGGAATACATTAAATGCCAACGATTTCCGCTTTAAAGCAGTTTTTTGTCCTTCCAGCTTCGATTTTGAGACATTCTAAGTGTGCAAGAAACGCAACTCCGACCTTCAGTGGTCGTTTACCGCTATTTGGTAAATTCCAAATCTCAGGCGAGCGGAGACGGAAGGGCTTGCCATTCGCTTGCGGGTAGTTAGGACTGATGAAATTTGTAAAAAAAAGTTGAAAGTTTTTTTTAGGGGGGGGGGCACCGACCATTAGTGGGCCTCCCTCTCATTCCAAAACAGACGAATGGATCTCGTGATCGCTTTTCCTGAAGCCATCTGTAGACTAAACGTTGCGCGATCATGCGACAAAAAGAAGCCCTTCTCAATAGGCTTCAACCCTCCCTGGGTCATATCAAAGTTGTTAAGTCAATGGACGAGGTCATGCGGCATAATAGCCCCACAATAGATCCAGCCATTTCATTTCATTTCGTTTATTTCATTTATTCACCATATCAGCCACGGGGCATGCCCATTTTTTTCTATAAATTTAGTCCGAACCTTTTGATAGGAAGGATTCACAAGGACAGAGCCAACGCTAAGCGAAGCTTGTTGCGGTGACCCTGCCCTCTACCCTCCGATCGCGCAATTCCAGTTCTATGGCAGAATTTAGAGTCCAAAGTTTAACGTGCGCACATAGCCGCGCACGGCCGGTCCCCTCACTGACTTCGCCTGGCTACGGGCTACGGCCTTCCACCAACCGCAGCCATACCTGTCAGGAGGCCCATAAATGTCAAGCGCCCGTCGCGCTTCGAACCCGGACTGTTATAACCGGGAACGCGTGCTCTCACCACGCGGAGTCCAACGCTCTACCAACTGAGCTACGGGACCGGCTAAAGTCATTTACCTACGGCCAAAGTCACAGCACAATAAAAATAAGCCACAGCACAATAAAAATAGTGGCTGCAGTGGCTGTACTCAGGTCGTTTGACATGTGAAACTGAAACTAAAGTCACGCCACCTGAGGCGCCCTGACTAGGTTGAATCTGGGTCGGATATGCGTCGTCTTTGCAGATATCACTGGCGGCTGATTCTCGAGTAAACAGACGTGGTGTCAAATTTTGATGTGAAAATAATAGTCGACCTTACCGCAGTCTGCGTACCCTAATGCCTGAAACAGACTCTTTCCGCAGTCAGGAAATCGCATGCGCGAGCCTATTCAAATGCATGGAAGCACGCTCGCATCAATCGCACGCACCTCCCGGATGCGATTGATGCGGGAATAATTATACATAATGTATTTGAATAGGCTCTCGCATGCGATTTCCTGAACGCGGAAAGAGTCTGTTTCAGCCATAAGGCCCTAATGAAATAACGCCCACTCACAGTTTCTGGCTCCTCGTCCCAGTCCTCCGTTCCTTCGCCCTAGCCCGACAAGTGTTTGGGCTTATTTAAGCCTCGCTGTAGGCTTGCTGTATAAACCGAGACAGCCCGTCTCGGTGAGCTTAGTTTACGAATCACTTTCTTGGGGTGGGTTTAGCTGGCGGATTGCTGTCCCAATAGGTTTAGTTGCGACCGTTTGCCTCTGAATGTATGGTAAGCGGTCTTCTCATGCTATGAGCTATAGCTTCAGTTGATATCTGTCTCATGATATCAAGGGAACGTTGAACGGAAATCGAATGTAACATGAACAGAGAAAATGGTACCGAGTTACCTCATTGAGAAATAGCACTCAAGCGCTCACCTTTTTCCTTAAAGGTAGTGTGCCAGCTTTCTTGGACCGTATGGAGTTAATGGCCCAGATAAGGAGAACCGGATTTTTAGAACTTATCCATACCTTCAAAACTCATGGAAACGTCTTAAATTCTTCAAATTTTGAGTACCCCAGTGCGAAATTCGCCCCGACGGGTTGTCGGTCGTACCCCAACCACATTTCACACCACTATGAACAATAAATGCACACACTGAAATCGCTATTACCGATATGCTCATCCAATCAAGTTTCGATAAACCCGTCCATCATCATCTCCTGCGGTTTCGAACACGCCTGTTAGGTGGCTTCTGATGCTCGTCGAGGTCGGAATTTCCAAATACGCGTGGTGCGTCGGGCCGCGCGCTCTGACTTCGGCCAAGAAAAATGCGTCAGCTGATCATTGTCATTTCTGCCACTTGCGTGTGGTGAAATGGGGTCATAACTTATAAGACGGCTTTTTCATATCAATTATTTTACATAAAATCATATTTCAAACCAAAAATAATGTTCGACAGCCAAATAAAAGAAACAATACCAATACAGTTTCAGGCTACAGTTTAAGGCTCGACATTGTGTTGTCTACGATTAGACAGCTGATAACTCATTCCCGTACGTCGTATGGTCGTAACACTATAATGACCTTTGCTTATTGTCACAAGTGCGCCGCATTCGCGATTGTTGCCCGACGCCTGTTTGCAGGTGAGCCCACTACAGCTGTTATACATATCTAAAAACCGAAAAACTTTTAGGCGAAAAAGGCACTATTCCAGGCCCATTTTTGATTTTTTTTTTTGCGATATTAGGTAAAAACAGAAGCTTCTTATCCTAGGAAAAATAAAATGGGAAATCTTTCAAAGGTGGCACACTACCTTTAAGTTTAGTTCCGTTCTTCAACATCTGATACATGCCATCGGCCTATGGCACAAAATTTCCCGTTGGAACTTATTCTAATACAGCGATACAAAAATCGTTACAGCGTCCATTTGCGGATCCAGTGAGGGGAAATTGATAGTTATTACTTTCCCGCAACGCCCTGATTCGACAAAAATATGTTTTCTTATAATAAAACTTTTATATTTTTTGGCTTTCAAATTTGCTCAGCAGTAGGTACGTAGGGAATAAGAATCCGAGGAGTTTTTGGATTTTGGGGACTTTTTTTGGGGGGGGGTATATACCAGCAGCCTCGAAACCACCTTTCTGATCCACCATGATATCATCTCGGTCTGGGATCTTGCCCCCCCCCCCACGCCAAAATCGAATCCGCCGCCACTGCCCACAGGAAGGAACAGACCTGCAAGGGGCTTTGAGCACCCCATCCTGCTGAACCCTACCCCGGCCAGGGTGTTAACCCTATTCCTGGCGGGCTCCGCCGGGACAAGAAACTGGCGGGGGGGGGGCCGATTCGGCCCCCCCCTGAGATCTCGAGAACGAAGCAAGATAGCGACAAGCGGTAAACGGCATCGGATACGCACGGCCAAGATCTACAATTTTTACAAAGGTCATTTTCAGGTCAGGTCAAAGATGACGTCACAGGGGTCGAAAAAGTCAAAATGGCGGCGCTAGATATGGAGAGAGTTTTTCTCGAATAACTTTCGAATTAGTCAAGATAGGAACAAACTAAGGGCATCATCGTGATCCTCTCGTCAATCCGCATCGAATGATATATATGTTGACCTCGAAAGGTCAAGGTCAAAGGTTGACCTCAGGTCACGTGACCTCGAGGTCATCATGTATATCATTCGATGCGTCTTGACGAGCTGAACACAATGAGACCATCCACGCGTCTGTATCTTGTTCCTGTACGGAGTTATTGGCCAAAAACCTTTGGTGACCTTTGATGACGTCACATGACCTCACAGCTGCCCAACAGCAAAACAGACCTCAAGGTAGTGAAGGTTGATCGTATATGAAGTCATGTATAGTATATGGGGCCATTCCGACCCGTTTTAGTGGTAAAAACAGGGAGTTGATTTTTCCCCCATTGACTTATAATGGGGAGGTCGCGAAATTGACCTGACCTTAGGTCACCGATATCAAAATTCCGAGATATACAAATTGCACATACTGGTACCCTAACTAAACCCTGAAGAGAAGAAATTGATCGGTCAAAAACTCTAGCTCTGGCGTGATTGCAAACTTTTCTGAGGTAGGGTCACCAAACCGCCTCTGGTGACCTGACCTGAGGTCAGATCAACTCAAAATTTTCAGACATGTTGCGTAGAAGCCTTTTAGGAAAAGTCAGAAAATTTGAGCTTCCTAGCTCAACGCGTTTGGGAGAAATAACCAAAAAACCTCAGGGGGGGGCTCCTGAAGCCCCCCCCCCCCGCCAGGAATAGGGTTAATGCAGCCCCTCCCTCCTAAAGCTTTCTTAGAAGCGTAAAAAACGGCGGTGCTTAGCAACCCAATATGGTATATGTACACTATGGGGCATCCTTCAGGCATGCTCCCGGAAAATTTTAGGTGCCATTGATTTCAGTTCAGGTCACCCAGGACACAAAACCGGTATCTAGAGCGGAATTTGAATAGGATTCAGAGGCACCGAAAGAACAGTTTTCCGCAGAAAGGGTAGACTTGGTGTCATGGAACCACCATAAAATTTCGGACATCCATTTGACACATGTCCTGAGAATTTTGAGTCCCAGTATCCTCAGGCTAGGTCACCAGCTCACGAAAACTGGCACATCGTCGAAATGACACTGAAATAACATTTGTGTTTCTATGAACCGAGAACCGAGAGCCGCTCCACTGCACCAGAGCGACCCCGCATGGGCCGAGCGGCTGAATAGGCACTTCGTGGGAGCGGGCGCAGAGGTCGCTGCTGCGTTGTCAGCCGTGCCGCAGGGGGCAGCACTATCACCTCGGCCTCCCCGTGTAGTCAGCAGCGCGTTCAAAGTGCAGTGTGTGACGTTGCCTGAACTGTCGGTGGCGCTCAGAGGAATGAGTAGTTCACGAGCCTGTGGGGAGGATGGAGTGACTGTTCAAATGCTAAGGGCAACCTTTCCCGTAATCGGTCCACACCTGTTACATGTCATAAACAGCTCGCTGCGGACCGGGGAGGTACCGGATAGGTGGAAGGAAGCTTGCGTAGTGCCAGTGTGCAAAAAGGGTGATAGACGTGACCCACGAAACTTTAGACCGATTTCTATTAACAGTGTGCCAGGCAAACTTTGCGAGAAGTGCGTGTGTAACCAACTGTCACCATACCTCGACCAGAATCACGTACTGTGCGAGAACCAGCATGGTTTTCGGATAGGACACTCGACGGAAACTGCATTGATCGACTCTATTAGTACTATTTTAGCTAACACAGAGGCCGGCCATGTAACTACTTTGCTAGCAGCTGATACATCTCGCGCCTTCGATAGTGTAGAACATGAGCGACTTTTAGTTAAATTGGGATGGTATGGTGTCAGTAGTCACTGGTTCGACGATTGGCTGCGCAACAGAACTCAGAAAATTCAGGGTGGCGGTGGTGGAGTGTTGCCGGTGACACATGGCGTAATTCAAGGGTCCCTTTTGGGCCCGAGGCTATTTTTGATTTTTACTAACGACCTGGGCACTCATTTGACTCACGGAAAACAAGTTACGTATGCTGATGACGTGCAATTTTTAGACTGTGATTCGGCCGAAAACCTGGCTTCTCTCAAACTGCGCGTTGAAAATACCCTCAAGGTGGCGCTGCAGTGGTTTACCCAAAACAGACTCAAAATTAATCCAAGCAAAACCGAACTTTTGATCATTAAGCCACCCAAGAAAAAGTGTGAATCTGACATGAAAATCACATTTGGAGACTGTGAAGTTGAGCCCTCTTCATCTGCTAAAATTCTCGGAGTTAATATCGATTCTGCATTAACTTGGGAGAAACATGTGTCGCAGGTAGCGCGCCGCTGCTACTATGTTCTCGTCGGTCTGTCCAAGTTGAGACACAAGATTTCGCTTGAAACGAAGAAGCTGCTGGTTGAGGCGTTAGTTTTCCCGCACATTATTTACTGCTGTACTGTGTGGGGAGGCTGTACTGCCTCCCAAAAGCACCGCATTCAGAAAGCGATCAACTTCGCTGTACGTGTCGTCACTGGACTGGGCCGACGGGAGCATGTGACCCCAGCTCTGCGAGCTCTGGGATGGGCGCGCTTCGAGGGCATGTTGGCGAAGCGAGATGTGGCGCTCATCGATAGGCTGATCTCATCTGACGTGCCGCCGGCTCTAGCTCACATTGTGCAGCGCCGCTCGGACGTAACAGACCGGCGCACTCGGAGCGCATGTGGAGGCCAGCTCGAAGTCCCTCGTATCTCCACTGAGCGCGCCAGGCGCAGCTTCCCCCATAGAAGTGTGTGCATATGGAATCGAGAGATGGCCTCCAAGTGCATCGTCGGACATAGCTGAACCTGACTGTCAATACTTTTAACAATCTTAACCGTATTCACGTTTTTAACATTTATATTTTCATTGTGTTGTTCTTACCGATAGTGTATCTTACTGCGTTTGTATTATGTATGACGAGAGGCCTGAAAAGCCATTTACTGGAGACCTCAATAAACTGATGATGATGATGAAGTCCATATTTTTTTCGATTTGATTCAAATTTGCAAGATGTGCTAAGCTCAACGAGCTCAACTGAATATGTATCCCGTTTTTAGTTCGGTTGATCTGAGGTCATCTGTAGAGGTCTTGGCGACTTATTACGGAGCGAGCGAAGCGAGCGTAGTCTTTCCTTAGATTAACGGAAATTTCTGAGTATGAGCGGCCGGCCGGCCGGCCGGCCGTGGTCACGCTTTTGCGAGGCTTATATCTCAGCAACCACTTGACCGATTTACACGCGGTAATTTTTGTAGGGTAGCTTCATTCCTTCTACCAAGTATTGGACTATTCCCGATGCATGTGGGTGACCCCTTATGCACGTGCCACGTGCAAAACGAAGAGGTGTCAGTTTTCTAATTGTTGCAATATCTCGGTAACTACTTGGCCGATTGCGCTGAAAGTTGGCATGTAGGTAGGCACCCACTAGGCACTGCATATACATGTGCCAGAGTTGGGGTGCTGCTGCACGTGCGCACGTGCAGGGGTCGTTTCCAGATCTCGGGAACGGCTGGACCGATTGCGCTCAAATTTGGTACACGGTTAGGGACCGGTTAGTAGGGTGCCGTGCACAAGTCAGTTGGGACCCATTTTGCACGTGCGCACGTGCAGGGTGCCGCTTCCAGATCTCGAGAACGGCTGGGCCGATTGTGCCCAAATTTGGCACATCGCTAGAGACCAGTTAGTAGGGTGCCGTGCACAAGTCAGTTGGAGGTACCCCCTCACAATTTCGCACGTGCAAGGCCCACCCTCTCGCTCGCTCCGTTAGTCGCCCCAAAAGGCGTTATACTGGTAATTAAGTGAGGTCAAATGATGTCCAACTGCATTTTTGCTAACTTGGCGCATAATGAAGCACAATAAAGAGGTTCAAAAATGGTGTCATTTTGTTCCTTATGTTCAGCCGAGTCGGATGATTACGGAGCGAGCGAAGCGAGCGTAGTCTTTCCTTAGATTAACGGAAATTTCTGAGTATGAGCGGCCGGCCGGCCGGCCGTGCGGACGCTTTTGCGAGGCTTATATCTCAGCAACCACTTGACCGATTTACACGCGGTAATTTTTGTAGGATAGCTTCATTCCTTCTACCAAGTACTGCACTATTCCCGATGCATGTGGGTGACCCCTTTTGCACGTGCCACGTGCAAAACGAAGAGGTGTCAGTTTTGTAATTGTTGCAATATCTCGGTAACTACTTGGCCGATTGCGCTGAAAGTTGGCATGTAGGTAGGCACCCACTACGCACTGCATATCCATGTGCCAGAGTTGGGGTGCTGCTGCACGTGCGCACGTGCAGGGGTCGTTTCCAGATCTCGGGAACGGCTGGACCGATGGCGCTCAAATTTGGTACACGGTCAGGGACCAGTTAGTAGGGTGCCGTGCACAAGTCAGTTGGGACCCATTTTGCACGTGCGCACGTGCAGGGTGCCGCTCCCAGATCTCGAGAACGGCTGGGCCGATTGTGCTCAAATTTGGCACATCGCTAGAAACCGGTCAGTAGGGTGCCGTGCATAAGTCAGTTGGAGGTACCCCCTCGAAATTCCGCACGTGCAAGACTCACCCCCTCGCTCGCTCCGTTAGTCGCCCCAAAAGGCGCTATACTGGTATGTTATATTGGGTGGAGACTTCCATTGGCGTCCAACTGGCGTCTAACTGGGCAGACGTCCAAGTTGGCGTCTAACTTGGCGTCTAACTGTTGGAGGCAGACTTCCAAGCTAGACCTGTCTAAAGTTAGCTGTCGCCAGATAGACGCAGCCGCCGTCCGTCCAGCTAGACGCGTCTAAGACTTAGACGCGTCTAGCTAGACTCGAAATGGAAGTATCCATCCAATATGATGCATTTTGATTAACCTCTGAACTTCTGAACTTGATTTAAAAGAATACCTCACTTTCCTGACATTAGTTTTGTGAAGACCTGACCAAAAATGTCATTCGATTGTTACTGATAATCTGAAATCATTCCAGGTGCTGTCATTGTTCTACTATTTCTCCATCAAACGTTTCTGTGGAAGAACTGCTGGTGACCTTTTATGACCTAACATGAGCTTTCGAGTGACCGCTAGCCATCAGAATGTCGTTAAAGGGTAGTCTCAGTCCTCAGGCCAACCAGTGACTTCTGAGGTCAGGTTGGAGGCCACAAGGCCGGCATTTATAGCTCAGTTAAGTTTTTTTCTGGGGGGAGGGGTAAACCTAACTTTGCGGCCACAAATGGTCGTCTACGATTTTGGAGCCATTGCGTTCGCGAAGCTCGGCCGAAATGGTTAAAACGAGATGAACGGATATAGAAAAGTGTCTATAATACCTTTCCCGGCGTCGTTTGAGACATTTTACTAATGACAAAGTCTTCGAAGAAGTGTCACGGGTTTGTACCTTTTCGGCTAGAAAATGCAGTATCTGCATTCTGCATGTTGTATCATTTCTTGCTGCCTTACATCAGGAACTCTGGTAGCAAGAACACAGAAGAGAAAAAGCACATGCACTGCTAGGTGTGTCTTAAATTTAAGAAATTTAAGTTTGAAATTTGGGTTTTAAGCTTCAGAGGCTTGTTGGGACCTATCAATAGAAATTTGATGATGATGCAGGTAAAACGTATACCTAATCGCAAGCGAAGATCTTTAAAGCATGTAAGAAGTGTTGCGTCTTTTGCTTTTATCTTCTGTGTCGATATCAACTTTAAATGACGATAACACAGAAGCTGATAAATCACGATGATTTTCATCATATTTATTTTTTGCTTAACGGATTTTTCAGCCGTCAACTGTGATGATTTCATACCAGCAAATTATTCCAAAGACTTACCACCGGAGCCTGTGGAGGAAGACGGACGGCACCATGTAAATATATCTGTTCAGTTTATTAACTTCATGGATGTTAATGAATTAGACGGGTTTATACAATTTTCTTGCTTCTTCCGAGTAGTTTGGATTGACTCGCGGCTGGGCCTTCAAAATACATCAAGAAATTTTCCACTACGAATTCCAGAAGATGTTGCTGATATGCTATGGCGACCGGATGTTGTCACTGAAAACGTGCGACAAGTTGTCAGAAACGGCATCATCAAGCCCACGATTTACACAGGCAGATTTTGGGGACAGAAGATGTTCGCTTCAAAGTACTTGTCCCTGCGAATCGGCTGCTCATTCCAGTACCAAGGCTATCCTCTCGACGTTCAAGTGTGTCGTCTCCATTTTACTGATATCGGCATGACCATAGACGACATTTACTTAGGGTGGAACATACCCTCGTACAACCTGGAACCAAACACATTTCTCACGTTCCAGGACCGCTTCAAGATGAGACTTTGCGAGGATAAGAGGAACCCTGTGCGCCGCACCAAGCTCGGAAAACATCCTCAAAAGACGCTGTTTATCATCTTAGAGCGCAACAACATGACGTACGTTGTGCAGCTGTTTCTACCGAGCATTTTGTTCATACTAGTTGCGTGGCTGAGCATTCTTGTGCCGCCCACTATGTTGCGCACGCGTCTTTTGCTCAACAGCACAAACTTGCTGACGGTGCTATCCATGTTCGTGGCCGTCTCCCACGCAGAATCTACCTACATCCCCAAGGTCAGCTACCTGACGGCTCTCAGTCTCTGGATGTTCGTCTGCGTGGCGTTCGTCTTCAGCTCGATGCTGGTCGTCATCTTCGACATCCGTCTGATCGCGATGTTGACGCAGCCGGCGGAGAAGCAGCGCGTCCGGAAGCTGGTGCTGGGCGTGTACCAGCGCCGGCGCAGCACGCGCCAGGGCTTCCAGTCGGTGGCCGACCTGGTGGAGGAGGAGGAGGCCGAAAACGCCTCGGCCGCCGCCGCCATCGAGCGGCTGCGCAAGATGCACAAGACGTCCATCAAAGACGAGGAGGGCGACATCTTCATGGACGCCTCCAGCCAGTCGGTGGCCGCGCCGGACGTCGCCGAGAAGAAGGAGGTGGAGGGTCGACTGCGCCACCGGCGCCACCTCTGGCTGGAGCTGACCGCCTTCTACGAGCGCATGTACCTGCTGGCGTTCCCGTCTCTGTTCACCGTGTTCATGGTGGCGTTCTTCTGGTACTACCGGCGCCGGAAGCAGCTGAGTCTGGCGCACCTGCTGGACGTGGTGCGCGCCTCGGACGCCGAGCCGCGCGCCCCGGACGCCGAGCCCGGCTGCTGGTGCACCGACCACGACGACTGGCCCGGCTGCATGCCGCAAGACCAGTAGCCGAGACGGCGCCGACCGGCCGAGGCGGCGCCGGCCGGCGGACGGGTCGCAGCCGACCGGCCGACCAAAGTCGGCCTTCAGAGCGGAGCCTTGCGGTGATTTGGGCATGCGCTCATAAGTCATAAGAAATGTTTGAAACTTGTGCCTGTTTAACGCAGCGTTGCGCTGTTGTATGATAGAAATTCATTCTTGTACATATGTACATACATGCATACAGGGCTCATGCTGTCATGGATCCCGAATGCCTTTTACCGACCTATTTTGAACCGTGTTTTGCCCAGCAAGTCAGAAGGAATGGCACAATCTGTTCACCCTACTTTCACCGAATTTGTCATCAACATTCTCGCTATTTTAACTTTTAGTTTATCCTTTTCACAGCTTTGATTATATTCCCATAGCCATGGTTGAGGCTTATTAGGGACGCGGAGTTGGGAGCCCGGGTCGGAATCGGTCGGAGCCGACAAAATTTTACCGACTGTTTGTCGGAGTCGACATTGCATGGCTTTAAGCCGTGCTCTACACCTGTGTAGGTACTGGAAAATATGCGAAAAAGCCATGAACTCCGCAGCCCTGGGCCCAATCTTACCAAATGCCGTGAATGCGCATTCACGGCATTTGGTAACATTCAGAACTATTCAACATTCACTTATTCATTCGTTCAGGCAACATTCATAATCATTCACGCTATCAAAATCATTGGACAAGATTAGCTGGATCATAGACCCCTTTAAAGGGGTCTATGGCTGGATGTAAATAAAAAGGATGTCTTTGATATCAGTGCCGTAAACTCTGGTCAGTGCTGCCAAATCCTATTTACGGCATTGGTAAGATTGGGCCCAGACTGACTGGTTCCGAATCCGATTTTGCTTAATTTCGTAAACATCATTGCCGTACATGCCATCCATCCATCCCATGCATTTTGCACCCAGTTTGATCCCTTGCACCCATGCACCCAAGGCCGTATATACATAAGAGGTATAATGGTTAGCCGTTTGTTTACATCGGTGACGTTGAAAGATGACGTCAGCGGGTGTCTACCAATATTCGCCAGTATTTATCTTCGAGTATTCTATCGTCTAAGGCAGTTTGATTAACCTTTAGGCTCCCTTAGAGCCTAAAAAAAATTACTGCACAGCAAAGTCTTAAAAATCGACAAAACCTTGACACCCCGTGACGTCATCTGTCTCCTGGGCCCTCCCTATGTGGCAGCATAGAACCGTAACCCCTGCATGCACCCATGCACTCCAATTGTTACAAAGCCTATAGGAATCTGACTATTAACCTGCTGGGGTCTGCCGAGCAACGCGCCTTGTTGGGGGGGGGGGCAATTTGACCCCCTTCCTCCCAAGATCGCGAGAACCACGCACTATAGCGACAAGCAGCAAACGGTGTTGGATAACCCCAACAGGGAACTACCTTGTGACCCAATTTGATTGACCTAGGTCAAACCGATGACGTCACAGCTCAGGTCAAATGTCGAATTTTCACCGTTTGCAGGCATTTAAAGAAATGCGTTGTAAAATCGAGTAGGGTGAATAGGTCAAAAACACCCCCCTTAAGCGCGAAACCTTCTGACACTCAACCCAACACAGATTACTCAAACCTTTGGGCACCATCATGTAGGTAGCTCATTCTTTTTACTACGCTTTGAGACCAAGAAAAGACACCTGCGTGTGGTATTTAACCCCCCAAAAAGGTTTTCGCATACCCTTACAAAAAGACGTTTTGCCCCAATAATACGGTAATACGCCCACACCCATGTGCAAAGCGCCCCCACCCCATCTATCAACAGAACACGATGAACATGGCAGAACTTGACGTCATTCTGACGTCATTTGTGGTCAACCTATCATAGCCTTTGGAATGAAATTTTGTTGCAATGTGTAAAATGGATGCCCGGAGGAGTCCTGAAAGTTTGGTGACGATATCTGCAGTCGTTTAGGATATATCAGCAAAAAAGGACAGGGAGAGGCCTTTTCGGCCCCGACCTACAGGGCGCTACCCAGCACTCTCACCACCGTGCAAAACGCCCCCTTACAGAAAACTGGGGGCGTCTTGCCCCATGCATCGAGTAGGCGTCTTTCCCCATCCACCCCATTTCCGGTCAACAAAATATTGACAAAAAACGCGCCACTAACGCCGCAGCATAATAAATTCAACAGAATGACAATAAAACGCAGTTTTGAGTGATGTGCACAATAGCAAGTTTTGTGATATAAAGAGGGCATCAAAATATTAGGAATCTTCTGTAAAAAACAACAAAAACAACACCCAAAACCAACATCAGCACCTACCCACGCTGCTCCTCAAGACGCAGAACCGGAAATAGAGACCTATCGTTAACAAGCAGCTGACTGTTCTGAAAGACAGGAAAAAACACCTATGCGTCGATAAGAAATACGATTTTTTAGGGGAGGCGTTTAACCCAGGGGTGCGTTTTCCCCACAGTTACCCTAAAATGCATTTCAATGAAAATCATCGATGGGGAATTATTCATCAAACACACATTTTGCTATTTGAGGTCACAGATAGGCCAGGTCAGGTCACTGAGGGTCACAACATGAAAATATATGAATTGTGATGCATGTTTTATGGTCCATTTTATATGCCAATGCGATTATGTGGGTCAGGCAGCCTTTAGGGCCAGGTAAGATTATGTTCTGGTGAAGGTTAGGTCAAATTTGGTCAAATTTCAAAGTTGATATTTTTGCATAAGATGAGAATCAGTTCGATGCAGGTCGTCACGGGGAGTTCAATGGTGGTCTTTGTTTTGCGCTACGTGGTCTAGAATTGCTAAAAAATGAGTTAAAAAATTGACGTTATCAATTTTGAACAGTTTTTTTTTTTGCTATAACTTGGTCAAAAACGGAGGTATCGATCTAAAATTTGGTATGTAGATAGAAGAGCGCCGGAAGTATCACATATATTAAGTTTTTCCGAAATATGAAAAACTTATGGGATTTTTTACTAATATATCCAAAAATTACTTTTTATTTTTGGGGGTCAAAATCCAAAAGTTTTGAACATCCGAGAAGGCAGTTTTGTAGCGCCGTCTTTTCTCTACATGAACATTTAAAGAACTTTGAAATTGCTTGGTAACTATAGCTTTTGTGAGCAATTCAAGATTTCATGTTTTTTTTTTTTGCTCATTTTTGCTCGAACATGACCTCAGTTTGACCTCAATAACTCCTGACATAAGGTGACCTAAAACTTGACATTTTGTGTAAAGGTGTCAAATTGATGCCCAGGAAGGTATCGAAAATTTGGTGGCGTTGCCCGCCGCCATTTTTTTTTTTTGCTACTCAGGAAAAACCACAGGGGGGGGGGTAAAGTAGTTTTCGAAGATAACTCAGAAACGGCTGCGAATTTCGACTTGAAACTTTCAGTACTCTCCGGACATAAATTTTACACAACTCCTGAAAAAAGTAGGTCTCAGGTCATCTCAGGTCACGAGCTATAGAGGTCAAACTGAGGTCATGTTCGGCGATTTTTCGTCGAAAAAGTTGTTCACGGAGAAAAATCGCAGAAAATCAGGGTTTTAACTTAGTGACTCATATATTGGACCGTAGGTATAAAAAGCATGGCAAACCAAATGGCCATCTCGAAAATTCCAAAATATAAAAATCTCTAGATCTAGGGATTTTCTATTTTTCGTTGTAAGCCGGTACAATTTGACCTTATTTGACCTTCCTGTGACGTCAAAGGTCCAAGAAAAATGGTCGAGGTTTTTGTGGATGTATATATATATATATATATATATATATATATATATATATATATATATATATATATATATATATATATATATATATATATATATATATATATATATAACATGTCTTCATAAAGACTCGAACATTCGCAATTTAGGGGAATGCATTTCAGACCCCATGAGACCCTAATTTTTGGCGATAATTTGTTCAATATTTGTCCAATTTGCTTCAAATTTTCACAATGCACATTTCAGCTCAAGCGCCAATTTTTGCCAGTATGGTCTCTTAACAAAATATCAAATTTTAGGGTACTTGTCGTTGCCTCGTAATGTTAAAATCGGCTCCGTAAATCCGTCAGTGGAGTAGAGGCTATCCGTGCGTAGGTGTGACGTCACAAACACGTGACCATTAAGCTCCGCCCTCCCGGCGGACGGGGTAGTGACCTTGGCCGGTCAGTCGACTGCGTGGAGCGGGCGGGGCAGTAGCTGTCGCACCGGGGCGGCTCGCATGGACCGTAGCTGCCGTGCACTGTGCAGTTGTCGTTGCAGCCGTAATTTCATCGAATGAGCTAAATAGCGCGCATAAGTAACGCAACAGCTGAAGCCCTCGACTAATTCTATCTATCACAAATGTACGTACACCTTGTTCAGTCACAAAAAATATATATTTCCACACAAGATTCGGGGCTTGTGAAAAACGCGCATAAAAGACGCTGTTGATTTCAAATGATTGCGTAAGATTATGTATCGCGTCAGACTACGTCAAAATTGCAAAACAGAATCACCATTAACATGCTGCAATTTATGTGTTTGATATATGAAATTTGATTAGGAATGTATGCCGGCGTGATCGATTTATATCATCCCGGAGCAACTAAGCATTGAACACCTTCAGGACTAATCCATTTGATCATCGACTTAGGTTGAGGAGGTCGCCAGACTAACTTCGCCCCCAGAGCTTGTGTGTTGAAATGCAAACATGAAAAGTAAAAGCCTAGAGATAGTTTCCTCACCATTGAGGACATACCTACTGTTACTAAGTTTTACAAAAAAGATACGAGTTTATTGATGATCGTTCTCGTGTAGTGCCCAACGTCCGCCTGGCACATTGCTATTTCTTTTTGTGCACGTCTTAACAATATATCACACACATGACACCGCGATAAAGGCCATTTCTACCATACGACACATTACGCTTCTGCCCCACCCGGCGCCCCGCACCGCTTCACGAATCACGAATACGGTCGTTTCGCTGGAGCGATGCCCCAGGCAATCGGCCGTGCCCGAGACTCTTCATCCTACTTTGTTGTTTTCTGCGCCTTCCTAAGAAACATTTATTGGCACTGCCAAATACATCAATATTTTTGGGTTAAGCACAGGCTTACACATGATCTTATAGGTAATCGGGTAGTGACCTGACCCAACCTGACGATGAGATAGGTGCAACTCCGGCTTAAATAAATGTTCAGAGTCCAAGAGTCTATCCATCTTTCCTTCTACGGCCGGTTCCGTTCCAAAAGATCCTACCTTGATTCTGATCATTCTGAATATTCTGAGCTGGTTCGACGCTTAAATACCAAAATAAGGTGAAGAGGATACCAAATGCCCTCAAACGGATAATTTTTTTGGCTTTCGTCCCGAAACAACTTTGCCAGCTTCACTTGTCTCCAGTATGTGGTCCCGCTCCGACCTCTCCGCGGTGCTGACACCGACTGAAGCGGCATAGACCCATCCCGGTCACGGCCAGTGGGCGGAGTTTAGTTGGGCCCGGCGCAACGTGATTGGCCAGCGCTCCTATCCAATCCGGTGCGGTAGCGAGCGAGCCTCTATCCGGGTGCAAAAACTGATTAACATTACGAGCCAACGACAAGTGCTCTAAATTTTGATATTTTGTTAAGAGACCATATTGACAAAAATTGGCGCTTGGGCTGAAATATCGTTTGCCAAAATTTCAAGCTAATTGAACAAAAATTGAAGAAATTATCGCCGAAAAGTAGGGTCTCATGGGGTCTGAAATGCATAGTAAATAGGTATAGGTTCATCAGCTGTTTGCCAGTTTTATACAGCTGGCAAGTGCTTGGTCGGGATGCATGAAAAATATAAAGTAAAAAATAAAATAAGCTGCTTATTCCCGACTTAGGAACATCTACTAACATAAATAAAGCGTGTCTTTAGAGTTTCGTCACTTATCACGCTACAAACAGGAAACACCGCAACCTCAATTGGGGTAACACCGCCACGGGGTGGCGGTGTTCCCCAATAAGTGATCACAAGCAAAAATCGCCAGCGGTAAGAATGTACTACACGGTTCAAGCAAACTTATCTTACTGGACAAAGCCGACCAGTTATTTTTCGATGTAATCAAGTAAATCAAAATGAGTCTCTACTTAAAGACATTCAAAAGTGCTCCCAACTCATCGAATTTTTATAAGAGAATGTGCATTTTTCTTTAAATGCCCACATTGAGCTTCGATTACACTGAAACACCGGAACACAAATCAGAAGACGCTTACCTTCGTGCGGTCAATAGGAAATAACGGATTTTTACACTTCACATTTCATACTTTCGCCGCCAGATGGGGTGGCGGTGTTTCCCACTGTGGCGGTGTTACCCCCGCTTCCCCTACCATGCCTTTCCTTACACTGAAAACAATTCAACCCGCGTACAGCGAGTAAAACCCGCTGCTGGCGGGTACACCTACCCACCACCTAATTTGACACTCTACCAGCGGGTGCGTTTACCCGCATATCGCAGGCTGTGAACCCGAGTATATTGTGTACCTAACCCGCATAGGATGGGGACTCAACCCACACACAGAAGGCAACCTACCCGTTCGCAGCGGGTACACAATCCGCACATGGCGTATTACCTGCGCTGCGTGGGTTGGGAACTCGCTTTCTGCGAGTACAAATATCCGCTGGTAGGGTGTCCAAATCAGCTGGAGGGTAAAGTACCCTCCAGTGGCGGCGTTCAAGGAGGAAAACGCCGCAATCGCCGGGATTCGAACCCGATATCCTTGACATTACAAACCGATGCGCTACCAACTGCGCCACAGGCGACCTGATGCAAAGCGACTGAAATGTCGGTGTATATCAGATTAAAATGAAGAACTGACGGCGGACTCAATACAGAAAGTAAAAAGGCTTATCTTAGACAATTGACATGAATCCGCCTATAGTGTTTTAAATATTAAGGAATAGTTTGGACAAATATTTCATTTGCATCGGGAAAGATTTATTTATCCAGGCTTATTTTTACCAATAAAATGTGCTAAGAACGGTCTGCAAACTTCACCACAATGCGCCAGATTCGCGGACTGCAGAGTGCAGAATATTCTGCTGAGCGTTCCAGCGAAATATTCTGCCGGCCAAGACGTGACGTCATCCAAACAATGATTCAAATGTCCCAAGCCCGTTAAGTACCCTCCTAACTCACAGAACGCAGCCCCACAGCTGTTACAGTTACGATTACAATTGCCTTGCACATCTCTACCCCTGCACAAGGCCTGCACAAGCACGCAGCCGAGCCGAAAAGCGACTATTGTGGCGCGTCACATTTCAACACTCGTTTGAGCGTCGAAGTCAAAAGTATTAATTTCAAAACCAATGCCGTGCATCAGTGGGATATCCATGCCATGACACATGCGTGATCAAGGCAACCTGCGTATAGCATGTCACCTACCTTGGCGCAGCGAGTTACACGATGCAAAACCTGCGTGATGCGCTTACTCCGTGGGCGCGAGTAACGCCTGCGGCCACAACCCGCTGCGGACGAGTGATTGACCCCGCCAGAGGAGGTTTCATGTATCCGCGCATGACGGGTTGCTGTTTTACCCGAGTATAGCGGGCGTTGACACCCGTGAAGCGGGTGAAAGCTACGATGATAACGGGATGCTCTGCGAAACGCGGGAAGCTAAACGGGTAGTCAGCCTACCCGGCAGCAAAAACTCGCGCAGAGCGGGTAATTTCTTCAAAATACCTGCGATACCCGGGCCAACTCGCAATCCGCGGGTTGAATTGTTTTCAGTGTACGATTCACCAAAGTGTTTTTTGACTGGTCAGTGCTGACCCCTGTTGTGACGTCACAGGTCATAATCCACTCAGTTTACTATGCGCAGGCCAGATCTATCATATACATCATATCCAGACTCATTTTGAAAACTTATATTTCATTTTTATGACCGACTTCTCGTCATTGCAAATAATGACTGATTTGACCTCATGTTTGACCTCCCTGTGACGTCATAGGTCAAATATTAAGGTCATCATATCCTATCCTGTGCATCTCGATGATCTGTTTCGATTGCCGTTTGAATTTTTCCGGTCCGGCTATTGGTTCCGGAGATACGACGGGGGCCTTTTTGCCCCCCCCCCCCCCCCCAACAGGACGTGGAACCTGCCAGACCTCAACGGGGCGCGGGTTAACACCATCGCTTGAATCGTGACACCTTTAGGAGATTGCAAGTTAATATGCGTGCAACGTTCCGTTATCAACCGTCAACTTTCAACGAAAACTTATAATTCCAACGATACAATTTGTTGTGCTCAATGGATATGGTAGTTTTTTTCAGAGGACAGCTAAACAAATTTTCAGGAAGCAGTCTTCTTCAACCTTTGACACAGTATTTATTCGTATTTTACTTGAATGACAGAAACTCGTTATTCGTTCATACAGCACACAGCGCTTAGTGTGCACTGTGCACTGCACACTCATGCGATCATAACGTACGGCCGGGCACTGAAAAGCCCACAACAACAATGTCGTCAATGTCGCATACACTCACTATTCACATATTGCCGATACCATTCATCAGTCACTCCCTAATACAGAAGGAAAAGGAATGCAACACATGGGCTTAAAAGTGGATAACCAATACCGTACCTTCAAATGGTTAAATACGCATAGGCACCTATAAAAGTCAAACAGTTTCGTGACTTCGGTGTATTTTCACTTGTCATCGGGGTAGGGAATGAATAATGCAGCTCACTCATCAGGCCCGCAGTTAAAAGGACATCGGCATCGTATAGCAATGACACGTGCAAACAGGATGCGGCAATTACCAATGAAAGATAAAAGGAGATGGCAGGGAACAATTTCCGAAAGATAAAGTCCACTTTGGCTGGAGAGGGCTGTTAACCCCAACGATTGGGACAGTCGTTAGGGGTTGTTGTTATTTAACATTAGGTTAAGAAAAAAAAAATCAGAATAAGAGTCAAGCAAGGCTTCTACCTTGGCTTGTAAGGCTTGTATGTAGTCCGTGTGGTTCATTGCAGAGGCCTGAGGCGAACAAGCCCAAATAGCGGGGAAACTTGACCGACATGGTCAGGCGTAGTCAACAAATGAAATTATAAAAACATAGGCACACAATAATAAAAAGACGCACAGGGAACTCACATCATTATCATCATAATCACAATGTGCCGAACGCAGTCACAAACAGAACATAATCCACGGTTACGAACCGGATTATCAAATCGCTCGCCCTGGCACCCCAGTGTTGCCGATGGCGTTTCAGAGCGCTGGCCAAAGGCTAACGGAAGACGAGCACTACACGCAGTAGGATCAGGGTAAGTGAGCGAACTACATAGGTAAAGCACTCATCGCCCGAGCCCTGACAAAAGGCCATAACCCCGTGCATTGGCGACCGCTCGCTCCAAGTGGCCTCGTTTCAAGTCCAGCTCCGGTGAACCTCAGCTGACAGCCAGCGACCACTGTCTTCAGGTAACTTGAGTGACCTCAGGTGCGCTCAGGTGACCGCTCGCTTCCATTGCCCTCGGGCGGGCCTCGGTGACCGTGGGGCGCCCTCACCAGGAGCGCACGCCGCCGGAGCCCAGCCGGATGCTGGTGTGCGAGCTGGTCGCCGACGAGTCGCGCTTGCTCACCTTGATGCCACGCGGCCGGTAGGCGGGCCGCGGCGCCGGCTGGTAGGACGCGGACGAGCCCTTCGGCGGCAGGGGCGGCAGCGGACGCGCCGCCTGGAACAGCGAGCCGTGCGCCCGGAAACTGCCCGGCTGGTAGGCAGGCCGAGGCGCACCGTAGGCGGGCTCAGGAGCTCCGTAGGCGGGCTCAGGGGCTCCATACTCTGGCTCAGGAGCCCCATATTCTACATCAGGTGCTCCGTAGGCGGGCTCAGGGGTCTTGTAGGCAGGATCGGGGGTTCCGTATGTGGGCTGAGGGGCTCCGTAGGCAGGTTGAGGTGCCTTGTAGGCGGGCTCAGGAGCTCCATATTCTGCCTCAGGTGTTCCGTAGGCGGTTTCAGGTGCCTTATAGGCGGCCTCAGGCGCACCGTAGGCGGTCTCAGGGGCCTTGTAAGCTGGCTCAGGGGCCTTATAGGTGGACCCAGAATTCTTGTAGGTAGGCTCAGAGGCCTTGTAGGTGGGCTCAGGGGCCTTATAGGCGGGCTCAGGGGCCTTGTAGGCGGGCTCAGGGGCTCCATAGACAGGTTCAGGAGCCTTGTAGTCGGGCTCAGGGGTCTTGTAGGCGGGCTCAGGAGCCTTGTACGCGGACTCAGGCGCTCCGTAGGCGGGCTCAGGGGCCTTGTACGCGGACTCAGGCGCTCCATATTCTGCATCAGGGGCTTCGTAAGCGGGCTCAGGAGCCTTGTATGCTGGCTCTGGGGCCTGATAGGCGGCGGGCCCAGGCGCACCGTAAGCAGGTTCAGGAGCCTTATAGGAGGCCTGAGCAGCACCGTAGGAAGGGCCATATGCCGGCTGAGGTGTTCCATAGGCAGTCACGGGAGCATGGTACGCAGTCTGAGCAGCAGCATATGCATACTGGGGAGAAACGTAGGCAGCACCTGGAGACTTATAGATATGCTGGGGGGCTCCATATTCGGCCCTAGGTGCTCCATAGGCGGGCTTAGGTGCCTTGTAGGCGGGCTCAGGAGCCTTGTAGACTGGCTCAGGTGCTCCATAAGCAGATTCAACGGTTTTGTAGGCGGATTCAGGGGCCTTGTAGGCGGGCTCAGGAGCCTTGTAGGTGGGCTCAGGAGCCTTATACTCGGGTTCAGGCGCTCCGTAGGCGGACTCAGGGGCCTTGTAGGTGGGTTCAGGCGCTCCATATTCCGCCTCAGGTACTCCGTAGGTGGGCTCAGGGGCTTCGTAGGCGGGTTCAGGAACCTTGTGGACGGGCTTAGGAGCCTTGTAGGCGGGTTCAGGAGCTTTGTAGGCAGGTTCAGGGACCTTGTAGGCAGGCTCAGGTGCTCCATATTCTGCTTCAGGTGCTTTGTAGGCGGGTTCAGGCGCTCCGTAGGCGGGTTGAGGGGCTTTGTAGGCGGGCTCAGGCGCTCCATACTCCTCGTCAGGTGTTCCGTAGGCGGGCGAAGGGGCTCCATAGTTGGGTTCAGGAGCCTTGTAGGCGGGCTCAGGCGCTCCGTAGGCCTGTTCAGGGGCCTTGTAGGCAGGTTCAGGCGCTCCATATTCGGCCTCAGGTGCTCCGTAGGCGGGCTCAGGGGCCTTATAGGCGGGCGGCTCAGGTGCTCCATATTCAGCCTCAGGTGCTCCGTAGGCGGGTTCAGGGGCCTTGTAGGCGGGCTCAGGAACTGCGTAAGCGGGCTCAGGGACCTTATAGGTGGGCGCAGGAGCTCCGTAAACGGGTTCAGGCGCTCCATATGCGGGCTCAGGGGCCTTATAGGCAGGCTCGGGCGCTCCATATTCTGCCTCAGGTGCTCCGTAGGCGGGTGCAGGGGCTCCATAGTCGGGTTCAGGAGCCCTGTAGGCGGGCTCAGGCGCTTCTCCGTAGGCGGGTTCAGGGGCCTTGTAGGCGGGCTCAGGCGCTCCATATTCTGCCTCAGGTGCTCCGTAGGCGGGCTCAGGGGCCTTATAGGCGGGTGCAGGGGCTCCATAGTTGGGTTCAGGAGCCTTGTAGGCGGGCTCAGGCACTCCGTAGGCGGATTCAGGGGCCTTGTAGGCGGGCTCAGGAACTCCATAAGCGGGCTCAGGGACCTTATAGGCGGGCGCAGGTGCTCCGTAGGCGGGCTCGGGCTCTTTGTATTCGGGCTGGGGAGTCTTCACTTCCTCGGTCACTGAGTGCGAATCATGGGCAGCGTGGTCGTTCTGACTGCCGTGCGAGCCGTGGTTTCCGCTGTGGTTTCCGCCGTGGTGTCCGCCGTGATGTCCGCCGTGATGTCCGCCGTGGTGTCCGCCGTGGTGGCGCGGGTCGCCGGGCAACAGGTCGGCGGCTCCCACCGCCAGCAGTGCGGCAATGACCAGCAGCTGTAACACAGAGAGCAGGTGTAACACGGAGAGCAGCGGTAACACGGAACCAGCAGCTGTAACACAGCAGCGGTAACACGGAACAGAGAGCAGCTGTAACACAGAGAGCAGGTGTAACACGGAGAGCAGCGGTAACACGGAACCAGCAGCTGTAACACAGCAGCGGTAACACGGAATAGAGAGCAGGTGTAACACGGGGAGCAGCTGTAACACGGAGAGCAGCGGTAACACGGAGAACAGCGGTAACACGGAGTCAGCAGGTGTAACACAGCAGCGGTAACACGTCACAGAGAACGGGTGTAGCACAGAGAGCAGTGGTAACACGGGGAGCAGCGGCCAGGGAGAGCTGGGATGGGGAGCCTTAGCGCTAGTGGATAAAGTGGACACCCAGTGTCCTCAATGACACTTCTCCTTCCGTAATGTGATGTTCCCAGTAAGAGCGTTTCCGGACAGGGGCAAAGGGAATCCCTGTTTCCATTTGCCGACGCTTACCATCCAACTCGCGACACGCTCGAAAAACGGGCTGCTAAAATCGGACTTCACACGGGAGCATCAGAGGGGGATGGGAGTAACCAATAACTATCAGTACAAACCCAGCGCACTGCTGCTCCCGGTCCGAGACCTCCAGAGCACCACGGCACCCTGCAGTCACCGCTGCTGCACCCAAACCCCGCCACCCCGAGCTGTGCCCGGAGCCCGCCACCACCCCTATCTGTACCTTCATGGCGCGGCTGCTGCGACTGTGTGTTGCCACGCCCCGGTCACGGCGCCGTTATATAGGGCAGACCAGTTACCACGCGGCCTCGCGGGGGAGCGCCCCGCCGCCACCTTTCACGTGACGTCATCGGTGACGTCACTGACCGACGGCGGCAGGTCAGCCGGGGTCACGGTGTGCCGAGACCGGCCGCGGCCGGGGACACGGGCCAAGCAGTAGTGCGTGCAAGGTGGCGAAGTGAGCATCTGTTCACGGAACCCATACCGGGACACCGCCACATAGTCAGGCCTCCGGACAGACTCCGAGTCGACTCCGAGTCGACTCCGAACCGACTCCGGACAGACTCCGAACCGACGCCGGACAGACTCCGAACCGACTCCGGACAGACTCCGGACCGACTCCGAACCGACTCCAGACAGACTCCGGACCGGATCCGGAGCACAGCCACTCAGGCGCGCTGTCCTGTGCCGTGACGGAGCTCGAGCAGAATGCTTAGTAGCATTGGCCATTTTACGCTCCTCTCCAGCTCGGCTTCTGTGTCGTGAGAACAGCGTCAGCTGATCCAAAAACTCATAAAAAGGCAACGCAATTGTACACATTTCGGTCGGTTAAGCTCCGGTCAAAGGCGGGATCGCTTGCCAGTTTGCAGGAATTAACTAATCGTAGTAATCGATAATCAATTACTCAAATCAGCTACCAAATAGGTAACACAATTTCCAAGTTGTTCACGGCTCATTAGTGGGCTCCTGTGTGAGCGTATCCTACTTGCAGGGTGATCATTTGAAAATGAAATAAAGTAGCCCGTTATTACCACGATTTGTTTGCGTTCATAAAAAGTAAAGTGATACATCACTGGAAAGGCCCTTGTTGGACATTTGATGTGAAAAAAAAAACAATATCGTTCCGCTTTTGTTACGATTCGTTCCCGCGACAGACGCTCGAAATGACCACCGTGTTTCGGTCAAAGAGCGCAGGTCGGCTCGACACTGGGAGCGGTATGACATTCGTCGCATTGCTCCTCACTGATCTCACGGGCAAATTAATCCACTATGCCCGATCGGAACTACGCTTTGGGGTTTGTGGTCTGTGGACAAATAGCTCAATTTTGTAGACAAGAAGTACACCCAAATTCGGTATCACTCGGGAGGGTGTGCTTCCTTGAGCTGTAACCGACGCCGTACTGGTGGTATGAGTTTTCCGTGTTGTGCTGGGGGGGGGGGACGTTTTCACCCCCCCCCCCCCCGTCTAACTCGGCTCCTGGGCCACGTAGCGACGCGCGGTAAGCGGCATTCGAAAGAGCGTCAAATTAATGACGGAAATCCTTCGTTCGGCCATTTTTTAGGTCGGGTCGTCATCAGAGGTCATCAAAGGTCAAATTTTGTCTATTTCAACAGTTTTGGAAACACCCAATGCTTAACTCGGGAACCAATAAAGCTACGGCGCTGCAGAAAAGTGCATTCGATAGCTCTTTCACAGGCCTTTCTTACTACTGTTCTCAGACATGGCCTCAGGTCAGCGGTTTAGCCTCCAGAGGGCAAACACGCTAAAAATAGCCGTTTTTACGATTTTTCGGTATAACTTTTGACTCGAGGGAGTCACAGCATTACCTACTTTTGCTAGCATCGTGCTCCTCTCCTCGAGACGCGTCCAGTGAACTATCAAATATCAATTTATGCTTTAAAAGGTGATAATGAAAATTTGGCCTCGGGTCAAGGTCATGACCTGACCAGAAAGGGTCGCGCTGTGTATCAGTCGAGCTGTACCGTCGAGCTGAACACATCTTACGTGCTTTCACCGCTCTATAGTACGTCTATATCAAAAGTTATAGTAAAAAAAAACTGCTGGTGTCCTTTCATGACCTGCGATGACCTCAGGGGCACACAGAGGGGTCACGGGTGCAATTTTCCGATTCAGTGTGTCATCGGCTGTTTGATCATGTCTAAAAACATTACCTACCTATTATAACATATTTTCTTGCCTAACACGAGAACTGCTGCGCGTCCCTCGGAGAGTTTCTGTTCAGTCATGCCGGCCTTCCGGGCCTGGCGCGGCCGGTGTGGGTGACGTCACTCCGACCTTCCGGGCTCGGTGTGGGTACGGCTGATGACGTCACTCACGACTCGCCGCCCGGGTCACGCCCCTGCCAGCAATGTGACCTCGGACTGGCGAGAGTCGTTCGAAGACGAATCACGCTGTGGCGACATTACCTTACCCGCCTGCAGGACTGGCTAATAGCGGCCGTAACAAAGTCACCGAAGGAGTCTGAAGCAGCGAATCACCCGTTTTTGCAGGATATTCCAGTTGCCGTGGCACATTTGTTTTGATTTTTGGCCCTGTAGCCCGCCTCATCTAACCGGCCGGTTTGTAGAGCTGCGGCCGGTGCTGACCAGTTGTGCCATTTGTACCGCCGCGGGTGCTTCCCCGACAGCGGGTGACTGGGCCGCGCGGTCCTCCCGGTTGGTCCGCCGGCGGTCCCACAGCGCTCGGCGGAGGGGGCGTGGTGCCGGCCGGCCCGCGCCCCGCCGCGCGGCTGATGGCGGCGGCCGGCCGGCCCGGTCAGTCAGTGGTCAGTTGCCCCATCCCGGCCGGCCGGCCGGCGCTCTGCTGTGGTCGGCCGGGGCGCGGCCCAACCACTCTATGCGTTTGTGCAACGCTCCGGTCAGAGAAGGGCGGCCGAGTTTCGCGGGCGCGCGCGCCATGAACGCCGGCCAAGGTCACTTCATCCGCGAGTGATTATTCACCGTGGCGTCACCGGGTCCGGTGCCGCCCCGCGGGCCACGGTTTTCATCATATACCGGGGCACTGAGCACGGCCCCTCAGGGCTGGAACTTCACCGCTCCTTCCTCCATGTTCCTACGGAACGTGACCTTTGTTACCAGCGACTCCGGTCCTCTGCATAAAGCCTAACGTAAGCTTTAAAGGGACCCTCCCACCTTCAAAAAAGTTAATGAATTGGCATGAAAGTACCAAATTTCATCGAAAAATATTCACCGGTTTTCAAGATATTAGACTTTTACTTTTGTTTACTTTTTGGGATCTCCGCTGTTCCTAGCGACTTTATTTTAAAGTGCGGCATTTGTTGCGCGCAAAGCAGCATATACCACCGCGTGCTACAAAACGTTTTAGTCAAACATTTAACGGACGTTCGAAAGCCTGATGACGTCATGAGATTCCCGTAATGGTTAAGAGATAGGGACCACGCTGGTCCCACCCTGCAAGTAAAGGGAAGAAATTTCTTGAACACCATAAAGCTGCGGGGGTTGCGACCAGGATAAATGGTGGTTTCTGAGCCTGGCCGCAAACTTGGCTATCTCAACTCAAAACTAATGTTAAGGTGGGAGGGTCCCTTTAACCCGCGAGTTGCTGGGGGGGGCGTTAAACGCCCCCACTTTTTTCGCCGGGCCATAGCAAAAAAAGGCGCGCCGCACAAATTTTGGGTACCTGTAGGGAATTGATTGAAGTTTATTGTGACAAAGTGTCAAAAAAAAAATCGGTCGGAAAATTTTTGAGATATCGAGGTTTTAGTGACGTCATGATTTCTGAGTTTTCGACCAAAAACGGCATATGTTCAAAAAATCATATAGGGGAGAGCGGGGCAATGGCGGACGGTGGGTAATGCCGGCCACCCATCTCTAGTGAGCACTTTGTCCATCACTAATCAGCGAATGTTGTTTACATTTCAGTTGAGCGCCATTCTAGCACGTGGTGCAAGTTTGTCACGGTAGCTCCATTATTTTCATTTTTACCTATAACGTTAAATGTGTTTTTCGCATCTGATTTTTAATTTTTGTTGCATCTATTTGCTGACTGTGAAATGTGTTAACGCATTTTCAGAAGTGCTGCTTTGCAATGACCTTCAATTAAGCCTTTCTTAGGCGACTGCTGGATGTGAGGCGTTTGCGACGCAATGCCTTTGACTGCTGCCTGCTTTCTTAAAATAAAGCTGACCTCGGGGTAATACCGGACACGTGCCCGGAATGACTCCACGCGGTTTTGTGTGCGACTTCTGTCGTTAAAGCTCAACGTTTCGGGTTGCTGTGTTTACGGCTGTGTTAGTTTGCTTGCTGTTTCCGGTTGTGCTAGTTTGCTGCTCCGTTGGCGCCGCGCTGTTGTGTTGCAGCGAGTGCAGTGTTGTGTTGCAGTGCAGTGCACTGTTAACTGCTGAATACAGTTGTCGTTTCTTAATTCTCACTTAAATTTCCATCGAAAGAACGGTTTAAGGATGAATATCAGTGGCGATATTTCGACTTTTTGTGCTATTGCACTTAGTGGCCTGCATTTCCCCTCGCTTTTTTGCACCTCCATTTTTCACCACATTTTCGCGTAGGCTCTGAATCTGTCATCAGTGATCTGAGATACTAAAATTGGGTGTTATCTGAAAGCCTATTCCTTTGGCTATAACCACAGTCAAAATCACCATAAAATAACTTCAAATAGCTAAGCTATTGAGCAAAATGCTTATGGTGTCGCCATTGCCCCACTCTCCCCTAAAATCACAGGATAGACATACAGACATGCCGTAAACGCCATTAGACTGCCAATACAATGAACAATCAAATGGCTATCTTCGATTATTGATTATCGTTCCGCATTTTCCAAAATCTTGAACTGAATCTTGGCAATTTCTCGTGACTAACTACTTCACGACCATGATACATGCATTTCTTAAATTGGACTTTTTTAGCCAAACACGTACAGATATGATAAAATGAATGTCACCATCGTGTTCTACGCCCCAAAGTACCCATAAAACATGTGTCACAGGCTGCGAATATCAGTTTTGATTTTCGGGGATATGTGCCTGCCCGGTTGACCTGACCTTGACCCTGACTTATCCCGCGCGGGGCTGGGGGGGTAAATTTTACCCCCCCCCCCTCGCGAATTTTTGCGATATCTCAAAAACGGCGGCGCGCAGCGCCGCCAAACTTTCAGTACCTTTTCTTACATCAATTTGACACGTTCCCTGAAAATTTGAGCGAAATCCGTCGGAAAATTTTTGAGAAATTGACGTTTTAGTGACGTCATGTTCGCCATTTT